TGTTCATGGAGCGGGTGTTGAGGAGGGCCGCTTTTAGAGGGTGTTGGGCTGTGATTGGATGGCTGGACCGGGGAAGTGGTCGAAGATTGGTCAGATTCACGTGTTGTGTGTTGTTGTTGTGACGTAATGCGGAAGTGCGGCACGACCAGATGGACGGGATGGAGTGTGGAGACGTAGAGTGGGAGAAAAACGTACGGCCTGAGCCTCTGTGTGGAGGCCGTCGTCTGCGGAGTAAACCCATCTCCTTGAGGATATCCATACAATCGGGAGGCAGGTGGTTATTCAGAGAGTGGAGGTCTGAAGCGGAGAAAAGAGAGATATTCTAAAAAATAATATTTGAAAACATTAAAAATAAAACGTTTTTTTTAAAATATTTTTTTTAATATGTTGTTGTTACATTTTTCATTAGTTTTACCAAAATAACTTGATTTAATTGTATTTAAAATAATATTTCCAAAGAAATAAATCCTTCGAATCTGCCTGTTCAGTTTATGTTGGAATGTGAAGGGTTAAATGCCGTCTCTGAGAGTTATGTGAAGACGGGAGAGCTTGTTGGTCCCTCTCTACATTCACAGAGGGTCCGCTATAGCAGTGGTTCCCAAACTGTTTGTGCCCAAGGCACACCAAAGGACAAGTACAAATCTCAAGGCACACCTATTGTGCAAAATAGCCCTTATAACATGTGTTATCACTCATATCATGTAAAATATATGTAAATGTGCATAATTATTTACTAATGCCAAATAAAATGTGACAAAGACAACTATGTTACTCATGAAATATTTATTAACGAAATATTTCAGAAATTAATTTGAAACTTTATCAAATTAGGCTTCATCAAAGCAGCAACAAACTCATTTAACCAGACAGGTCACAAAATTAAAATGAGGCAAAGGAAACTCAGCAGAAATTCAGCACAGAGAACTGTCAATGCAAGGAAGCTGCATTGTCCATGGTCCTGAACTACACATTATAAATGTAACATTTCAGCAATCAGCATTGAAACATGTGCTATTGTAAATATTTTGCCGACTTACAAATTAGTGAGATACATGTGCCTGTCGGCCAGATTCTTTTTAATCCTTGGTTGCACTGAGGAGAGGGCCACTCGCAAGTCCTGTTCAACAGAGAGCCGTGACCTCCTGTTGTTCTTCATGTAAATCAGAGTAGAGAACGCCAACTCCAGAGATGGGGTCGTTACTAAAAAAAATGTAATATATTACATATTACTTTTTTTTTTTTAAAGTAATATATTACACGACTTCGTTACTATCTACATAAAGTAACTCGTTACTTTACTCGCCGAGCACGTAAGAACTGCGCATGCGTGAGTGGCAATAACTGTTCTTACCAGCAGGCGGCGGTAGTGTGTATGTGTCATTCAAAACAGGCAACAACCGGAAAACAGAGAAGAAGAACAGACTGCGTGATATAAACAAACAACAAATAGCGTGTGCGGTAGCTTCACCTTAGCATGTGTTCTTTGCAGGTGTGTGTTGAGGTTTGACCACGTGGTGTTTCCAGCAGTGGATAACAGCTTCTGGCCTGGACACAGTTTGCACCTCACCGTCACATTCCTGTCTATTCTTCGGACGAACTCATAATAATGGGCATACCTCCACCCCTCGAAAGTTATCGCTGACTCAGCCATGTTTATGCAGCACTGCACGTGGAGATGTGGACGCACAAGTCGCGCAGATTACGTACATATAAAGCTACAAAGTACTGATATAGTAAATACAAAAATAATAATTTTTGTGTAGTTGTATATTGCAATAATAACGTATGGTTGTCACAAAATCCCACGGCACACCGTTTGGGAACCACTGCGCTATAGTATCTCAATGAGAGAGTAATGTCAAATGACAGTACAATTGACCAATCATATCTTCCCTCTAAATGGGCGGGCTTTATTTTCGCGGACTTTATGACAAGTTCCGCCCGCTGTGAGGTCTATGCAAGTGGTGCAGTGACGCGTCCTAAAACCCGGAAGTAAGCTTCGCTCGGATTCCCTCGACAGAAAGCAGTGGGATTTCTCCATAGGGTTTTGGAAAATAGCTCGAAATAAGGTCTGTGGAAAACGAACCTGTTAGATAAATGCACGTTTTGTTCAGACGGATAATATCCACATGTCTACCCTACTTTTATTATTTTCTAATCATAAATCTAAACGATAGATTTATGATCGATAGATTTATGATCGATATATATTTATAATTAGCATAAGTTCGTTCATGATGGCTCACTTTAGTGATAGTGATGACATCGTTGCGAAATGATTAACCGAGTCATTTTCAAGATTGAGTTACAATGATAAACTGGAGTGGCAAAGGATCAGCTGAATGACCCGCAAGTGCTTCATCCAAAAGGACAGGAGGATGGACTTTGTGTTTAAGTGATTTGATCATCAAAGGTCATTTTAGTCATTTTCAATGTGGGCCGCCGTGCCGACTTAATTCATTTGTAATTGTTACTTGGCTGTGGGTGCCCTGTCATGATAGGTGTTTATATAAATGGTAGGGATGCACGATATTGGTTTTTTGAAACCGATACCGATAACTTCCTGCTTCTCAAGACCGATACCGATAACCAAAAAAAATGTACGCCACTAATTATTTGAACGCGATTAACGCATGTGTATTTTTTTTCCTCGGCTGCCCCGTAGTTTCAGAGCGCATCGAGTTTAAAATACCATCTACAAGCTGATGCTGACAGTCCCGCTCCTGCCGCCCGCTTGTGGCAGACCATACTTCCACGCTCACCGGCAGGCACCGACTGGCCATCTGGAGGACCGGGAGGGTGTGTGTATGTGTGGCCCGAGCGAGCGAGAGAGAGACCTTACGTGCATTGTTGTTGTTAGCATCTGGTGCTAGCTAGCTGCGCTAACGGATATACGGAGCTGTTTAAATGAAAACAGAGGAGCGACATTTCGCCACAACTGCGCCGAGCACTTGACTTTATGCAGGAAGCCAGACAGTGGGACATTGTACGAAAAGTCAGCACACTCAGCACGGATAGTGCGCAACATGATTGCAGCGTCAAGGCAGCTCCGGTTCGAGCATATGCCTTGAGTTGCACATAGCTCCAACGCCCATACCACGACGACATGTTTGTTTACTGTCCTGGCTTCACGGCCGCACACCATTTACGTCACAGCCAGGCATGAGTTAGGGAGCGCTGGATTTGTGAAGAACTCCCCTCTTCCTAAACCACTAATACCACAGTACTGGCAAAACGGGAGGAGCCGAGTGAAAAACAAGCGCCCCTTATCCCAATCCACCCACACCGTAGTATTTTTTCTTTTTTTTTACCCAAAAAATATATTGTATATTATCGGGGCTATTAATACTGGTATCGGGTTTATCGGGATGACGTCATCATTCCTAATATCGGACCGATAATTATCGGGCCGATAATTATCGTGCATCCCTAATAAATTGTGTTGTTCTGTGTGGTAGAGGGTCGCTGTCATTGATGGGTTTTGCACCCCGGGCCGCTGTTTTGATATTCCGCTAGGGCTGCACGGTATTGAAAAAAACTGACATCGCGGTTTTTCCCCCCCCTGCGGTATATATATCGCGGTTTTTTTAACCTGTTAAACCCCAAAGTCCCGGCGGGTACTTTACTTTTTTTTTCCCCAACAGTGTCTCAGGGGATCTTAATATTTAAGAACCTATTAATGTGTTATACCAGATTAACGGAAATAATCTCAGCTAACTGACGATACAAACCATTTTATACCAAAACAAAACACAAGTCTCATAAGAAGCATCTAAATGACCCCTGAGCGAAAAATGCTAACGGGCATTGGCACAGAACTCAAGATAAAAGTACCCTTATTATTACTTATCGTAGCTGCACTTACAAGATATCCGATTAAAGCTGAGGTTCCACAGATTATTTAGGTATATAGTATCATCACTGAGTGATCTGAACTCGGACAGGGGAAGCAAACACAGACATCACAACACGTAGCTTCGAGGGGAGATGTCTCACCGTAGCTGTCAATCTGATCAAAAGACGTGGCATTAATGGCATTAAAACGAGAAAGAAAAAACGCGGCTGAATCGGTTAATCCATAGGTTTTTAACGTCAAATTATTTAATTTATAATCCATAATTCAATTTTTATGTAAATATCGCAGAGCAAAAGTTAGCTGCTAATGGTAGCCACCATAGTGGCTGCTGCTTCCGGTCTTGGCGATGCGGAAGTCTCTCACACACACAACCAAATAAGTACTGTGTGATTTCCCCTCGATTCCATTGGCTCTGACGGTCAGAAAGAGATGTCACATGTCAAAATCCAGCAAGGTGGGCCAGAGATATGGAAAATCCACCCAAATGGCCCCAAAAGAGTTTTTTTTTTGTGCTAAATCTGTCTAAAAAGGTCAAATATCAGGGGAAGTTCTACACACACCAACACATGAACAAATAAGGAGTGAGAGTGACGCCGCGTAGCCAAAACCGGAAGCTGCATACCACCAAGGCTTTTACCATTAGCAGCTAACTTTTGTGATCCGATTTTTACATAAAAATTGAATTATGGATTATAAACAATTGCTTCAAAGCCACAGATACATTATCAACCTATGAATCAATCGATTCAGCCGCGTTTTTTCTTTCTCGTTTTATGCCATTGAACACGTCTTTTGATCAGATTGACAGCTACGGTGAGACGATCTCCCGTAAAAGCTCCGTAAAAGGTACGTGTTGTGATGTCTGTGTTTGGTTCCCCTGTTGCGAGATCGGATCGCTTAGATACTATACTTAAATAATCTGTGGAGTCTCAGCTTTAATCGGATATATTGTATGTGCAGTTTCGATAAATAATAAGGATATCTTTATTTTGAATTCTGTGCTAAAGTGCGTTAGCATTTTTTTTTTTAAATGAATAAAACCGCACGTCCCTGCGGTGTGAATACCGCGCATGCGCATACCGCGGTTATCGCCATGACACGGTATATCGTTCAGCCCTATATTCCGCTGAAGTATACGCTGTGACCTGTGACTGTGTGTGTGTGTGTTTATATATACAGTCTATGGCTGTGACGTAATATCTCTTCTTTTTTTCGAGGGAAGGGGGGTCAGAGGGCCTAGGTATAAAAGTCACGGCTCGCCACTGGTATAACTATGTATGGGAATGTGAGAGCATACTTAAAGGACGTTAAATCAGAAATGAATGAATATAATAAGCTGTGTTTCCTATCATATGGAGGTGAGTTTCTGAAGGGCCTCTCGTGGGGCTCAGGTGTTCTCAGTCATCAGAAATGTTCCAATGATCTCATGGTTCTCCTGTTTTCTCCTGTAACATATGAGGAGGTGATGTTTGACAGCAGTGGACTCTGAGGGGAGTTGATGTTGTTGATCAGTCACACAGAGGCAGAAGCCCCTCCATCGTTTACATAGTCTGCCTCATCTTCTTCATTCTGCTCCTGTCAACATGGAACATAGACATGGTAAAAACACAGAGCAGAGCTGGAAAGTAACTTGGTACATTTACTCTCTGCACATAAGTACATATTTTAAAAACTTTACTTGAGTATTTTCACTCGTCACGATCTGCCTCCAAATCTGAGGCCATGGTTCTCAGCAGGAAACCGATGGACTGTCCACTCCAAGTAGGGAATGAGTCCTTACCCCAAGTGAAGGAGTTCAAGTATCTCGGGGTCTTGTTCTCGAGTGAGGGAACAATGGAGCGTGAGATGGGCCGGAGAATCGGAGCAGCGGGAGCGGTACTGCAGTCGCTTTACCGCACCGTTGTGACGAAAAGGGAGTTGAGCCAGAAGGCAAAGCTCTCTGTCTACCGGGCCATTTTCCTTCCTACCCTCACCTATGGTCATGAAGGATGGGTCATGACCGAAAGAACGAGATTGCGGATACAAGCGGCCGAAATGGGTTTTCTCCACAGGGTGGCTGGTGTCTCCCTTAGGGATAAGGTGAGAAGTTCAGTCATCCGGGAGGGACTCAGAGTTGAACCGCTCCTCCTTCGCGTCGAAAGGAGTAAGTTGAGGTGGTTCGGGCACCTAGTAAGGATGCCACCTAGTAAGGATGCCACCTGGGCGCGTGTTCCAGGCACGTCCAGCTGGGAAGAGACCAAGGCGTAGACCTAGGACCAGGTGGAGGGATTATATCTCTTCGCTGGCCTAGGAGCGCCTTGGGATCCCCCAGTCAGAGCCGGTTGATGTGGCCAGGGAAAAGAAAGTTTGGGGCTCTCTGCTGGAACTGCTACCCCCGAGACCCGACCACGGATAAGCGGGAGAAGATGGATGGACGATCTGTCTTTGTTTTCCTGTTTTATTTTTATTTTCTACAACATATCACTAGATCGACAGGAAAACTGTGTGGGGCTTTCGGCAACAGTTCTACATTGGTTTGAATCCTACTTAAAGGACAGGTAACAACACATTTGAGTTGACTAATATGACATGTGGGGTTCCTCAGGGCTCTGTCTTGGGGCATCTTCTCTTTAACATCTACAGGCTACCACTGGCTGCATTTAATTGAATTGTAAGCATTATAAAGAGCTGTTGATTAAACTATATGGTCACTTTGAAGCCTCCTTATTGAGCATTTATTTCATTTTGTTGCTGTTTTCTGTTATTTTGGTTAATGAACTGTTTAGCTTTTCTGAGATCATTTAATTTGGATACATAAATATTCTAAATTCATCTTGTGTTGCATCTTCTTCTGCCTGTCATATATCCATTGTTAAAATTGAATAGCAAATAATACACACACTTAATTATGCAATGTTCAAACTCACCATGTTTTCTTCCGTCTGTGCTTTGCTCCCTGAAAAAAGGACAAAACAAGTTGATATTAGATTTCACCTTTATTTCTATATTTTTTATTTCATCTGTGAAAATCTCTCACCTTTAGTTCTTGTCCATATGTTGACTGTAACCACGGTGATGATGAGAGCCGCTAAACCCACAGACACGATGATGAGCCTCAAGCGACCTGGAAAAGAGAAGTTAGAAGAGTTGGTACCACTTTACAATAAGACTACCCTTACAAAGGATTCATGAAGGGTTTATAATTAGGTTATGAATTAGGTTGTAAACACTTTATTAATCATTAAGAACCATTTATAAACCAGTTCTAACATAGTTTTCATACATCAACACAGGCTCACTATTTGGCAAGATGACTAAGCCTTATATTGGCTACCTAGCAAGAATATACTCTGTGAGCAACAGATACCAAGGATGCTGGCTGATGAAGGAGACGAAGTAAGCTAGGTAGCCAATATAAGGCTTAGCAGTACAGATAAATGTGGGCTCACTATTTGGCAAGCAACCGGTCACAGTTGCCCTGTTCATCTCATGTCTTATGAAAGCTTATTAATGATTAATAAAGTGTTCACAACCTAATTAATAAATGAATTACAAACTATTCGTAAACCCTTTATAAGAGTAGTCTTATTGTAAAGTGGTACCGAAGAGTTAAATATAGTCAGAGGTTTTTATCTCTTTATCTCTCAAATCTGAATGAACAAAATGTCTCTTGGCTGTTTAATGCTTGCTCGTCACCTTCACACAGGGACACATAGAGAACATACAGATACACACACAACTTATTTATAATCTACACAGTTCTGCTTTTTTATCTACATAACATCAGTCTCTACCTTTATTGTTGTCCTCTTGTTCTGTTTGATTGTTGTCAGATGCAGTGTTGGTCGTCTCTCCGGCTGCTCTCATGTTCACTGTTGTCCATGTTGTTGACTTTGTAGTCACCTTCCCTGCATCCTCACCTTAATGAATAAAATAACAACATGCTGGACAGTTATAAAAACAAATGTAATCATCTCACATCACGACAACAGCTCATCATGTTCTCACCTGAGGACTGCAGAGAAACAGCTGAGGTTCTGTGACCATCAGACACTTCACAAGTAAATCACTTTAAACCTTACCTGAGTTAATGTTGTTTTTAGCTGCTGTTGTTGTTGTTGTTGTTGCCGTTGCTGTTTTTTTGTCCTCACCTAAACAGATCAACAAAACTTAAACTATTCAATTTTAAACGTCCATAAAATAAACATGATTGAGATGGAGATATTGTGAGAGAAAAGACAACCACAATATGTACCAACATGTAAATGTACTTCATCACTGAAATCATCATAATGAATGTTTCAGTTTAGAGACAGTTTGAAAACATCATGATGTAAATACTCACTGGTAACAACAGACAGAAGAAACACAGAGTCTTGACCTTCTTGTTTTCCTGATCTGAACTGTCTGCAGGTGTAAAGACCAGCATCCTCCTCTGTGACCTTCTTTATAACCAGAGAACAATTCTCTGTAACTCTCAGTCTGTCTGATTTAGCTTTGGCTCCTTTGTGAATCTGCCCTTTTTCAAACAGCGTCACTGAAACTCTTGTATCAGTGAAGAACCAGCTAGTACTCTTACACTCATCCTGATCATGTATCACATTGTCACAAGGCAAAGTGACTTCAACTCCAGCTCTGATGGAGAAATCTTTCACATCTGCAGCTGTTGGGGGAAAAAGCAGAAAGAAATATAGACGTCATAAATGCTGACAGAATAATGTATATAAAAAGGTAAGAGTTAGAGTTCTGGTTGATCTGTTTAATGAATCATTTAACGACACATTCAAACCAGAGTTAATTACAGATCCACATCACTAACTGAAGTGTTCATAGTGAGTGTGACGATCACTTTCAAGAATATTGCTATGTGGGTTTTAGTGAGCAAGAGTTCACTAAAGTCACCACGTTACAAACACAACTCATCACTCTCAGTTAAAGGAACAGCACGTAGTAAAGTACCGTTAGTGATATTAGAGCTGTTTATTTCATGTAAATGGTAAATGGACTGTATTTATAAAGCGCTTTATCAAGTCTTTCACCCCCTCAAAGCGCTTTACATACATTAGAGACAGAAAGGGACAGATAGAGACAAAGACAGAGTGGGACAGAGAGGGAAAAAGAGAAGACAGAGAGGGACAGAGAGAGACAGAAAGAGACAGAAAGAGAGAGACACAGATAGAGACAGAGAGAGACGGAGAGGGACAGAAAGAGACAGAAAGAGAGAGACGGAGAGGGACAGAAAGAGACAGAAAGAGAGAGAGGGACAGAAAGAGACAGAAGGACAGAGAGGAGACAAAGACAGAAAGAGACAGAAGGACAGAGAGGAGAGAGAGAGAGACAGAGACAGAGACAGAGAGAGAGAGAGCGAGAGAGAGAGAGAGAGAGAGAGACCGAGAGGGACAAACAGGGACAGAGAGAGACGGAGAGGGACAAACAGGGACAGAGAGGGACAGACAGACAGGGACATAGAGAGAGACAAAGACAGAGAGGGACATAGAGGGACAAAGAGAGACAGAGGGAGACAAAGAGGGACAGAGAGAGACAAAGAGGGACAGAAAGGGACAGAGAGAGACAAAGAGAGACAGAGAGAGACAGAGAGACAGAGAGAGACAGAGAGACAAAGAGGGACAGAGAGAGACAAAGAGAGACAGAGAGGGACAGAGAGGGACAGAGAGAGACAGAGAGAGACAGAGAGAGACAAAGAGAGACAAAGAGGGACAGAGAGAGACAGGGGGAGAGAGACAGAGAGAGACAAAGACAGAGAGGGACAGACAGAGAGAGACAAAGAGGGACAGAGAGAGACAGAGAGAGACAGAGAGAGACAGAGAGAGACAGAGAGGGACAGAGAGAGACAGAGAGAGACAGAGAGGGACAGAGAGAGACAGAGAGAGACAGAGAGACAGAGAGGGACAGAGAGAGACAGAGAGAGACAGAGAGGGACAGAGAGAGACAGAGAGAGACAGAGAGAGACAGAGAGGGACAGAGAGAGACAGACAAAGAGGGACAGAGAGAGACATAGAGGGACAGAGAGAGACATACTGTTACGGTGTGCAGGAAGCAGGACCCAAATGCAGATTTAAGTGACAAAATAATTCCTTTATTTCAAGGCTACAATATTCAGAGACAGAACACTCACCGCAGTTCACTCACAACACAAGACAAACCGACACTGAACACAGGAAGAGACAAGACTAAATACAGGAAGGGGTAATCACAAGACGAGACACAGCCGGGCAGGGGAGGAGAAACACAAGGGCCACAGGTGAAAACAATCAGACAACTAGACACACCAGGGAAACTAACGACGGGAGGAAAAACACAGGAAGAAGGACCAGACAATATACAAGGATGAAAATACCCATAACCAGACATACAAAACTACAACACAGACAGATCCTAACAGTACCCCCCCCTCAAGGGACGGATCCCAGACGTCCCAAAACAAAACCACAAAAAGTCCAAAACCACAAGCAGGTTGTGCGGAGGGGGTCCGGAGGAGGGACGCACCACCAGGCCACCAGGGCGGGCGGAGGGGGACCGGAGGAGGGACACAAAACTAGGGCCAACAGGGTGGGTGGAGGGGGTCTGGAGGACGGGCTTGGGCTGACAGCCCAGGGGCAAGGCAGAGCTTGAGGTGGGGTTATGGAGGGGCGAATGCAGTGGCAGGAAGAGTCAGGGGGCCGGGCCCGAGGGCGAAGACCGCGGCACTCAGGGGGCCGGGCTCGAAGGGCGAAGACCGCGGCTCTCAGGGGGCCGGGCTCGAGGGCGAAGACCGCGGCTCTCAGGAGGCTGGGCTCGAGGGCGAAGACCGCGGCTCTCAGGGGGCCGGGCTCGAGGGTGAAGACCGCGGCTCTCAGGAGGCCGGGCAGAACCCGGTGTCGGCCGGACAGGAACCGGCGCTGGTGGGACAGGCCTCGGCAGGATCCCCTACGGAAGAGGACCAGGATTGGCAGGACCCCCGGCAGGAGAGCAGTCGGCGGAACCCCCAACAGGACAGGACACAGGGCTGGCAGGACCCCCGGCAGAAGGGCAGTCGGTGGGACCCCCAACGGGACAGCACACAGGGCTGGCAGGACCCCCGGCAGGAGAGTAGTTCGCGGGACCTCCAACGGGACTGGACATGGAGCCGGAAGGACCCCCAGCGGAACCTCCATCGGCACAGGACATGGGATTGGCAGGACCCCCGGCAGGAGAGCAGACGGCGGGACCCCCAACGGGACAGGACATGGGATTGGCAGGACCCCCGGCAGGAGAGTAGACGGCGGGACCTCCAACGAGACAGACATGGAGTTGGCAGGACCCCCAGCGGAACCTCCAACGGACAAGGACATTGGGTAGGGACTTGAGACGTGACTCAAGTAGGGACTCGAGAGGAGACTCGAGAGGAGACTCGAGAGGGGAACCAAGGGGGAACTCGAGAGGGGAACCAAGGGGGAACTCGAGAGGGGACTCGAGAGGAGACTCCAGAGGGGAACTAGAGAGGGGACTCCAGAGGGGACTAGAGGAGAGACTAGAGGAGGGACTAGAGGAGGGACTAGAGGGGGGACTGGAGAGGGTACTCCAGAGGGGACTAGAGGAGAGACTAGAGGAGGGACTAGAGGAGGAACTAGAGAAGGGAACTCGAGAGGGGAACTAGAGAGGGGACTCGAGAGGGGAACTAGAGAGGGGAACTAGAGAGGGGACTCGAGGAGGGACTAGAGGAGGGACTAAAGGAGGAACTAGAGGAGGGACTAGAGGAGGGAACTCGAGAGGGAACTCGAGAGGGGACTGGAGAGGGGACTCCAGAGGGGACTAGAGGAGAGACTAGAGGAGGGGCTAGAGGAGGGACTAGAGAAGGGACTCGAGAGGGGACTCGAGGGGGAACTGGAGGGGACTGTGGCAGCTGGGGCCGGGACCATGGCTGCTCGGGCCAGAACTGGGGCTGAAACCATGGCTGCTGGGGACTGTACTAGGTCTGGAACCATGGCCGGAAATATGGCTGTATGATCCAGTTCTGAAGCCGGAAACATGGCTGTATGGGCCGGCTCTGGAGCCGGAATTGAAGCCAGAATCATGGCTGTAAGGTCCGGTTCTGAAGCCGGAAACATGGCTGTAAGGTCCGGTTCTGGAGCCGGAAACATGGCTGTAAGAGAGAGACAGAGAGGGAGAGAGAGACAAAGACAGAGAGGGACAGAGACAGACAAAGAGGGACAGAGAGAGACAGAGGGACAGAGAGGGAGAGAGACAGACAGGGACATAGAGAGAGAGAGAGAGAGAGAGAGAGAGAGAGAGAGAGAGAGAGAGAGAGAGAGAGAGAGAGAGAGAGAAAGAGAAAGAGAGAGAGAGAGAGAAAGAGGGACATAGAGGAGACAGAGAGGGACATAGAGGAGACAGAGAGGGACATAGAGGAGACAGAGGGACAGAGAGAGACCGAGAGGGACAGAAAGAGACAGAGAGAGACAGAGAGGGACAGACGTGCATGTCTATATGTCTATATATGGCATGACATTGGTTCACAGCTGAGGGTGTGATTAAACAGGAAGCGGTAGAGTCTTTTGACCGTGTTCTTTTAGTTCTTTTTTGATACGGAGAACTTTGAGTTACTTTGAAGCGAGGAAGTTTGTCTTCATGTTTGAATGTCTCCTGGAGCAAAGAATAAACCTGATGTGATTCAACGCTACAACGATCTCTCTAAAGTTAGTTAGGAAGCAAAGAGAGGCGCGGCATAGCCCACACCCTGATAGAGGAACGTGGATATTAAATGTAGAAACGGATTCAAACGCCACGACAGAAGGTATCTTTCACACACCGTTCCCCATTGGGAGCGACTTGGGGTTCAGCATCTCGCCCGAGGATACATCGATTTCAATGAGAGACGCCCTCACTAGCTTTCATTAACAGTCGTCAACAGTGTGTGTTCTCTGCATCCTCACCTGTAAAGTGGAGCAGCAGCATCAGGAATGAAGACATCACGATCCTTCTGAATTCAGACATCGTGCTTCTGTCTCGGTCTCTGGCTCTCGACTGTCAGAGTCTCTCACCGGCTGCTTCTTTACCGATGATAACAGCAGATAAGCGACAGAAGAGGGGAAGTTGAATGTGGGAAGATGTTTTCTGGTTCCTCATTTCACCTCCAGTGTTTTTCTTCTGAGAACTGAAGGAGAAGTGTTTCGATGAGAATGAGGTTAACACCTGCAGCTCTGAAGGTATGACACCATATAGAAAACCTCAGGCACGTATTCAGCTGAGCGTCAGAGGAATAATTCAGGCCGATATGAGACGGATCAGTTTGAGCTGACATCCAGTCACTGTGGAGGACCGAGCCAAACTTACATTGAGACACAATCTGGATGTATATTTTAAGATGACTGATTCCCAGGCCCTGTGTGGCCCGAGTGCAGTATATGGAAAAGATCTGCCACTGTTTCCATCTTTGCTGAATCTGTTTATCTTATTGAAAAATACAGCATGCACTTGTCAGAGCAGCGGTGTCAAACTCAAAGCCCGGGGGCCAAATTCGGCCCGCGACTATATTTGATGTGTCCCCGCAAGAGCTTGCAAAGAATATAATATGTTTATTATTCGGTTGAATGTCGCATGTTGTCCATAAACTACATGTCCCACAATGCATCTCATTTTGTGACGTGCATTTATTAATAAAGTATCTCAACATACAACCCGACTTCAGTTCAGAGCATCCAAACTACTGTATTAATATCACATTGTCTGATAACCTGTAGACGGGAAACTCCGAGGGCATTCTTGAATTCCTCCCACGCGATATTGTTCCATTCACAGTTCAGGAGGTTTCCCTCGTAGAACAGACAGTCCACGGTGAGGAAAACCTTCTCATCGTTCACGACTCTTCTGCTGCTGATCACAACTTGGTGGGGATTGAAGGTGTGATGCATCACCACCTGAATAGTTGGTTTACTACCTGTGCAGCAGAAAGAAAACCCCAAAACATGGCAATAAACCTGATTCTGATTCTGATGCTCCAAAGCTAATCAGTGACCATAACGATCTAAAGGAGCTGGTGCTAATCATGTGTGAGTTTATCATGATATGAAAACCCTAATTGTTATACCTTGAGATAAGGAAGATATTTAGCCTTGGGAGTCCCAGATACAAATAAGGGGTCCAATAATAACATGTTCAAACACAAAGAGGTCGTTTTCATACCATGAAGTTAGCTAATCATTGACCGAGACATTTCCTACCTGGGATGTTGTTCAGTGCCGCCAGGGCCGTCCCTCCCTACAGGCCGATCACGCAGACTGCGTGGGGCCGCAACTGAGCCGAAAATGCAGCGCACCTATGCGCTTATGCGGCGCAATTAGTGTGGCGCGGCACGGTTTCGCCACTGCGAGGCTCCACTAGCACTCCCGTCCGTCCGTCTGTCCGTCCGTCCGTCGACTCCCGCGAAACAGAGGGCCTCATCATATATATTTGTGTGGGGCCTCATGTTGGCCAGGGTCGGCCCTGGAAACATGTTCATCCACAATGAGACACATGTACTGTAGTGGACATGTCCACTCTATCCTGATATGTTTAAACCAAATGCTTCTCATTTGGTTAGATGTGCTGTTTTCCTCTATCTACTCTACTTCAAGGCCACAGAGCTGTTTTGGCTACTGGGTTGAGACTCACACAAAGTCACACGAGAACTTCTACAGCTCAAGGCCAGGTGTCTAATAACAATGTGACCGTGTGAAGACAGATTTCTTACCTTCTCATCATTTCTGTTATATAAGCTTTGCTGCCATATTGAACTGCGCACACTCGCGCAGACATATTTTATACTCTGTGAGACCTGTGTCTATATTTTATTGTATCCAATGTTTGTTTGAGGCCTCGAATAAACATCACCAGAAAGACAACTCTGTCTGATTCACCATTTATTTGTTTTAATCACTCTGACTTGTACTCTACAGTATTGGGGTTTTTGGATTTCCATAACAGTACACAGACACTGTGATGGATTGATTTGTTTTTATTATGTTGATGTTTTAATGAGCACAAAGCAGCAGCATCAGGGTTGTACAGATATTTTAGGATATGTTAAACTTGATAAGATTTGATCACACACACTTCTCTACTGCACACATTTCAACATTATGTTAACAAATCTGTATATCTCAAAAGCACACTGAATCAACATTCTCATTTAACACGTTTGTACCCATTCACCTACATTAAAATCTCTGTTTAAAAAATTTATTCGGTGCCAATTTTGACAGGAGGAACTTTATCAATAATACTGTAGACTTTAAAGACTTTTCAACGAATGGCAGGTTTGTCTTATAAGTCTAACTTGAATTTCGTGTGAATTTGTAAGTGTCATTTACTTAAAGCAGGTTTGTTATTCTTCCATCTATTCTTCTCTAATGCACCTTAGATAAAACATCAGTGATCCAAAGCTTCAGCTCAAAAGCATCCATGTTAATAGTTTAATAGCATCCTTCATTTTCTGTTGATTGCAAATGCATTGCACATATGCACTTTTGTCCCTTCAAAATGCATTTATTGGAATAATAAACCTGAGGTCTTCTTACTTCTGTGTATAGTGCACTACCAAGGACACAATGATTATGGTACTAGTAGACACACCAATTACAAAAACAATCAGCTTTTGGTGTTTCCTCCAGACTGAAAGAAAGAAAAGATCAATCAGTCATCTCATTATCAACAGCAAGCACAACATGATTTAGATCACATGGGTTTTCTTCTTATTACAAAGGAAATAAAATACACTTTTTTACAATCTGTTTTTCTACAGCTTTGGCCATTCAGTCATTTTCAATATATATATTTTTTTTTTTGAAAGCCTGTTGGCATCTTGCTAGGAGTCACATTTCCGATACAAAAGATGGCCACCACCAGCGTTGCAAGGAGGGAAAAGTAAAACTAAAGTACCTCAATCTTAAAATATCATATAATGAAGAATATGAGTCATTTCAAGAACAAATAGAAGTTAACGTGTCATTTCATAAAACCCACAGATACTATATGTTAGTAGATATATTACATTTTATTTCACTGTACACTATTTAACCTTACAATATTTTCTTTCACCTGCACTATTTTATTCAAATGTATTTTTTTATCATTATTATTATTTTGTGTCTTATGTCTTATAATATGTTGCATTGTTGGAGAAATGGATTTGCATTGCCATAACTTCACTGTAGCTGCTGTGCAAGTGATAATAAAACCCTTGAATCTTGAATCTATACTACGTGCTGCAGCCATTACACTCATATTGGAGTTATGCACAGAAATCTATCATGGCTTCCGGTTGAGAAACGTCTGCAATCTGGTGTTATCACTTTTCTCAGAAATGTCCAATTTGGCAAAAAAACAATGTATTTTTATGATCAAATAGTTTACACAAGAGACGAGCATGACCATAGGACTAGTCAAGCTGCATCAGGCCATCTCCGGGCACCTAAACCCAGGACACATCTTCTGAACTTTTCTGTGACGTATAGAGCTACAATGGAACTCATTGCCAAACCACCTTGCTGACATAGAGTCCAGAGCCTCTTTCAAGAAGAGATTGAAGGGCCATCTACTAATGAGCATGAACCCCTCGTGAACTGAGAACCCTAATTGAATTGTATCTCATGCTTTGTACTGGTGGGTGTCTTGTGCACTCATCCTTGGCTGAGTTTGATGTTGAAAGTGGACGAGATTGTTCATGATGTTGGAGATGTTGTTAATGATGTCAGGACTTATGTCTTGAATGTTGTTGTGTTGAGTATTGTTGTATTGTTTTAAGTGTCGGACCCCAGGAAGAGTAGCTTTTGTCAAGAGCAAGAGCTAATGGGGATCCTAAATAAACATAGATTACATGTTACTTGTTAGACGCTTTTATCCAAAGCGACTTACATCCTCAATACTGTGGTCTTGCCCAGTGTCTTGCCCAGTGTCTTGCCCAGTGTCTTGCCCAGGACCACAACGACATGCACCAACGCACAACCCACTGCGCCACACGCCTGCCTTAAACATAAACATAAACATATGTTATTTGTTATATTTTGAACACCAGATGGCGTAGTGGAGCCACAGAATATAATTGATGTCCCTGGTACAGGTGTGTGATTTGGGACGGGAAGAGAAAACAGTTTTTTGACCGTGTTTGTTGGAAAATAAATGGTATTGAAAGCAATGGAGATTACACACGTCCAACTAGTTTACCCAGTTCAGCCATTCCCTCTGTGTTAGCATTTTGCTGACGTCACGCCAACTTAAGATCCATATTCAAAAATACAAATTCAAAATTGTACAAGTTGAAGCTTTTGTTTTAACAGTTTGCAGGAGGCAGGTACTTGCTTTTACAAACTTAGAGGAGTGTTCACGTGTTCGGCGTAATGACGTACTACAACGGCCTCGACAACTTCTGTAGTCCTATTCAGCCACTTGGTAACAACCATCGTTTTTCAGACACGTAAACTCTTCAAAAATCACCAGTGGGGTCACTGCTGATGGATTTAATGTCGTAGAACAAGCATCATATACCAGTCAAATAACTGTAAGGCACGTTATTATTAAAGCCATACTTACAAGATTGCCAGCTGATGACCTGAAGGGGAAGAAAAAAACGAGTGTCAGTCAGAAGAAATTCATCCATTCAGAGGTAAACCACAGCAATGCTTCCTAACCTCTTGAAGGGATAGTTTGAATGTTATTAGTTGGCGTTTATTGAGGTATTTATAAGGTATAGTTACAGCTTATGGCAAGGTTAAGCACTGAAGATATTCCAAATATACCGTACACTTAAAATTATCTTTCATTATTTCCATTGGGTTTCCCTTTTTTGAGGTGCGCTCCGCCATCTACTGTAACTGATACAATGACTGTACATAAACACTAGGGGTGCACCGAATGGGAAATTCTTGGCCGAAACCGATACCGAAAATAGGAAACAGTTGGCCGAAAACCGAATGCCGAAAATGATTAATAGAAATATATATATATATAATGTATACATTTGTTACCAATGTTGTTCAGCTACCTGATTATGGAAATAGACATGATTATGGCAAAACTTAACTTAAATAATAATCACTATTATGGGTCCATAAAACATTTATTCAGCACTTTTGAATGCATACAGTACATTTATTTTCTCTGTAGGATAACTACAACAAAGTGCATTCAGAACAAAGCCAAGGGGCTTTAAAACTGCATAAACATCTAGGCCAGTAGGCCTACAACAAAATAGTGTAAATAAAGACTGTAACAGCCAGGCCTTCAACAACAACAAATGCACCTATAAGTGCATGCATACAAATGTGCAAACTGGATAGATCCACATGAATGTAACTATAGTATTTACAAATGAAATTACAATTGAATTTCAAGAATCTGTAAATAAGGCCTCATAAACAAAGTAGTAAACATTGTATAAAGATACATAAAGTGAAAACTGGATACAAAATCCACAATCAATTACAAATTAAATTACAATTTCAAGAATCTGCAAATAAGGTGGTCTGTCCTCATGAGCAATGTAAACAACATTGTATCATTTAGATACCGAAAGTACAATATATTGAACACTGTGCTGCTGTCATTTCCCCCTAATGATAACCTGAGATGGTGAATTATAACTCACAATGAAAATTGTTCAGGAAAGTGGGTATAGAGTAGACATGTAGAACTAGATAAGCTTATAAGCCTATGATAAGCCAGCCTTGTCTACTTATTAAGGAAAAGTGGGAGGTTCTTTTTAATGAACAGTAGCTTCTCTGCTTTATCAGCCATAAGTCTGTTCCTCTTCTCATCAAGCACATGAGAGGCAGCGCTGAACAGTCTCTCGCTGTCAGTGCTTGTGCATGGAGCACTCAAATACTTGCGTGCCACCTTGGCCAGGTCAGGAAAGCGGTCTTGTTTGTTTCTCCAGTATCCAAGAGGGTTCTCGCTTCTGGGGATGGGTACTTCTGAGAGATAATCATCTAACTGTTGAGCGGTTGAGCTTGTCACCAGCCTGGCATTTGAGAGGTTTGAGAGAATAAGATTGTATTTAAAATAGGGACAGTGCATAATGAACATTTGCCAGATCACTTGGCAGACAAATAAAATCCTCTGACATGTCAAAAGAAATTACAACATTAAGAGCATATTACATAGCAGCACATACAGTACTAATAAATATCACATTCAGTAGCACATAGTACAGTAAGTAACCAAGTCAGAACAGAGTAGCCTACCTATTTGGGGTAGTATTCTCTTCTATGATCTCGTTGAACATATCAGACAACGAGGGTGGTTGCCCCCTCTCCTCCTCTGCTGTAGACAGACGAGCCCTTTTTTCTGTGGTCTACGTCACGACTCCTGTGCTGTGCGCAGCAGCCTCCTCTCGTGGGTTCTCCTTATCCAACACAGCCTGGATCATGTCTCGTGCGCTTTGCTTTTTCCCCGCATCAAAATAATTGTCTTTATATCGCGGGTCAAGTACAGTCGCGATACAGTACAGGGGATCAGAGTAGATATCAGCAAAACGTGTGTTGACAGACTCCAAGAGTGTACTTTTAATAGTTTTTACTCCACGGTCCGTTTCAACCTCTTTCCTTAGAAGACGCTTTAGAGCCGCATGTAAAGGGATGACGTCTGCCACCGATGCGTCAGATGAGCTAATCTCTCTAGTTAGCTGTTTCGAATGGGGCAAGAATGGAGAGAATGTTCTCCATTAAGATCCACTGGTTTGGAGTGAATGATGCGGGGAGATCATGATCTGCGCTGTATGTAGCCAAGGTTCGCTTTTGAGCAAAGAGGCTTTCCAGCATATAATAAGTACTGTTCCACCGTGTACTCACATCTTGTTGGAACCGTTTCGTTGTTACTCCAAGCTCATCTTGTATTGGCTCAATGCGAGAATAGGCCAGTTGAGAATGTTTGAAGTGACCAACAATCTTTCTGCTTATGGCCAACAGATCTTTTACGCTGCGTTGAGCCAACACTCCCTCGTTCACAGCTAATTGCAGAGTGTGGGCCATGCAGCGTATTCCACTCAGATTGCATTCTTCTATAGCTTTAGTCATATTTCTTGCGTTATCACTGACTATTGCGTGCACTTTAGGTCGGTCGATATGCCATGTGTCGAACATATTGGCGAATGCCAAGGAGATGGATTGTGCTGTATGAGACCCCCTAAACTCTTGCGAATGCAGCAGAATCTTTTGCAGTTTAAAATCCTTGTCGATCCATTGTGCAGTTAGACTGAGCATACTGGTGATGCTTACGTCTGAGCTCCATATGTCTGTCGTGAAGCTGATGGCTGTAATATCTGTAGCCAAGAGCTCATGGATGTGATTAGCAACGACATTGTACAGTTCAGGTAAGCACACGTCTGCTAAGTGTCGTCTGCTAGGCAAGGAATAACGTGGCTCAATGTACTCAAGAAGCCTACGAAATCCAACGTCCTGTACGACAGAAAACGGTTGATCATCCATGGCGATGCATTCCATTAACTTCCGAGTAATGCCCTTTGCCTTAGGACCATCACTGGGAAACTTTTTAACCTTTTCAAAAAGGTCCGCCACAGAAGGAGTCGGGGTGCTGGGAAGGACTTTTTTTTTCTGTGCGCTGGTGATTTCATCATACTCCGCATATTTGTCCGGGTGTTTAGATTTCAAGTGGTGGAGTAATCCCGAAGTGCTGAAAGTCTTTGCAGTTACACCCCCTCGAGAAATGTCAGCTGAACACGTTTTGCAAATCGCAATCCGCGCCTCTTTCTCTGATATTGTGAAGTATCTCCAAGCGGCAGACATGTTGGCTGTGAGCCAGCCGCGAGCATGGTCGCCGCGTCTTTATTACGTCATCACAACAACACGTTAGGTTACCATCGTAAGCCTGTTCTGACATTCGGTGATATTTTTTCGGTGCTAAAACCCTTTCGGCCGAAAGGGCCTTTTTAACCATTTTCGGCCGATAATTTTCGGTGGCCGAATATTCGGTGCATCCCTAATAAACACCTCATACAACCCCACTTCTAAACATCCAAACTAGCCCTTTAAAGTCACATGATCAGTTCTCTTCACATTGATTGTGTGTGAAATGGATTACCTGTGCAGGGGAAACCACAAGAACATCCTTGACCTGAAACCAGGCCATGTCATTGCGGTTGCAGGTCAGCATTTTGCTCTCATGGAACAGAACGTCTACGGTGACGATGACATCCGGGTTTTCCACAAGTCTCCTGCTTTCAGGCACAAAATGATCTTTGTCGTAGGTGTGATGCATCACCACCAGAACGATTGCTTTCCCACCTGTGAGCACAGAGATAATGTTGGGAAAATACTGAATGTACTCTTCTTCCAATATGAGAGTAACATGATAACAAAGGTATCCCAACTGTAGCTGTGAACATGACAGGATGTGTGATTACCTAGAAGAGCATCAGGACTGTTTGAGGCATATGATAGCTATGTGATTAACATGATGATTCAAAAAAGTCAGGATTTTGAGAAAAATATCCTGATGTTGAAGCTCAAGCCGGTGACGAGTGAGATTTTTCTAACAGATAACACAACGTTTTTTTTAACATATCCCTGTGTACTTTTGAATAACCGGTAGGAAATCGGCAAATCATCGTCCTAGACATTTCCTACCTGGGATTTTGTCCATTGCCGCTCTGATGTCTGTTCCAACTCGAGACGCGATGGGACAGAAAAGCACCAAGTAGTCACTTTGTTCAGGAGAGATCACCTCAATGTGACCCAACCCTTTGAGGTCATTAACATAGGTCTCATGAGCACCGTTGGTACATCCTGCCACAGAGACATGGAATTTCTTCCCCGGCACTAAACACAGAGAAGATTTGTTTTGAGTCATTTTATTTTGCTTCAAACCCAGATGTAGAAGAACCATGTCCAAAAGTGTGACTTAAAGTCTCAAAAGCCACCAGACTCCATTGTAAAAATACAAAAGTCAAGTATTCACATCTTCCCAAAACCACCACCATAATATAACGGACCAATATGCTTGCTTTTGTTCTGTTTTTACCTCTCTGTCATTATTAACGACCGGAGATCCAGTTGTATGATTGTCTCTGTTGGTTTATCACAACAACCAACTCCTATCTCACTACATTTGATCAGAAAGGCCATTGTTATGAGTTTGGACGGTCGGAGCATATACTGCGTTAGAAAGCATTTTAAAGGTGTTTCGCCTGCCGTCTGTCTGCCGACTTGTCAAAGCATTAATTCATGGTTTTTACTAACCGGTATCAGTATGTTGTTACTTCGGCATCATTTTAAAACGTGTATTATATGATTCTGTTTTCTTCAAGGTTGTGTCTTCCTGGTCGAATGTACTTATTGTAAGTCGCTTTGGATAAAAGCGTCAGCTAAATGCAATGTAATGTAATATTACAATTAAATCACGGTCAAATATGTTCACCTTGTTGTAGTTGTAGCCCGCTTGCCAGCGATTCTCTCTAGTTTAGCATACTCAGCCCGACTCAGCCTGGTTGTTGGCCCGGAAAGAACCTCGATTTTATGGGGCCAGAAAAACTGTGAAATAGTACCCGCTAGCCGGAATTACGCCAAGTGGAAACGCAACCAAAAACGGGCTCTAATGCGCCATTAGAGCCAGCTTTTTTGTCTCGTGTTCCCCTTGCGCTGCTCGCCATTCTACAAGAATCACTTATCTGTGATTAAATAAGATAAGATGTACTCTCTTGATCCCAATTTGGGACATTTTTGCGTGGCAGCAGCATAACAGACAAGGCGTTGCACATAAGAGAAATTAAATGGGTAGAAACAAACAAATCTAAAATGTAAACATCTCAAAATAGAAAAAGAAAAGCATTACAAAATATAACAAATATACATGTTGAAATACCAATTTACAGTAATTCAACATGTGCTTTTTTTTATGTTTCTTATGTTAAACCTGTTGTTAATGTATTTAACCCAACTGCTCCTTAGATGAAAATCACGTATACCTCACCCTTGATACAAATGCATTTAAACTTGACATTTACACTTATTGTGAGTGAAAAATAATAATATTAAGACTCACTTCTAGCAGTTTCAACATCTATGTTAAGAGCTTTTATTGAGACAACCTTGACACTTGCTTGTCTTTCATAAGCGCTGATAATTTTGAGGCGGGACAAGAGGATTATGAAAATTGATTTGAATATGTTTTTTTGTGTGGAAATACGGTATATTGCAATCCCTAATCTTTCTTCCTATCCCCTGCAATACCCTCAAGTACCTCTAGGGTTGGGAACCACTGACTTAAAGGACCAGTGTGTAGCTTTAGTGACATCTAGTGGTGAAAATGCAGATTGCAACCAAGTGCTGCAAGAATTAGTATCATTTTTTGATGCCGACCTAGAACAAAAAAGCCACAAAAAAAGCCAATTGAGGGTTTCCATTGGAATTATGAATATTGGGGGAGAAGCTTCGTAGCAAACACAACGTTATGATGGTTATAAGTTTAGTCCAGCAAGATAAAAGCACAACCTTTTTCATAATCATGTGATTGTGTAAATATGATATTCAATTTCTGACAATAATTCCGCCCTGTCCTACACATAGGTCCTTCAAGTTAAAGTGCCCACACCCTGAAACTAAATTAAATCTTATATTTAAAGCTGTGTGTGAATATTAGCAGCAACTGATCTATGAATTTTGAAAGTGAAAGTATTCATTGTGCTGTAAAATGGCCCCTCTTAGGGTGTTACCGTTTTCTGAAAAGCCCTGGATGTTTCACTTAAAAAATTTTTTTTACATTTTTTTCTTTTTCCAAAACGTCTCGGGAGTAATGTGCAGTACCGGAGTCCACCAGAGAGGCAGCCGCTGCGGGACAGTAGCCTGCGTACTGCGTAGCCTGCCCTGCCCTGGAGAAGAAGTGATCTTTCCTAGTGCCTGACGAGTTTTAAGCTAATAGTCTATAAAGTTATGGATATTAGAAAGCTCTTTTCATCGAAGCAGGCGCCACAAGCAGCAGCAGCAGTATCAGCAGCTGACAACAATGTCATCACCAGCAGTGAAGACATGGATGATGTTTCAGGTTTGTGAATCTAATGGTGATCTCTGCACTCTGGCTGACTGAGTAAGAAGTGAAAAATAGTGATGTAACGTTAATGTTATAGCTAGTAAACATGGAGTAACCACACTAAGTATACCCTTATATGTTAGTATGTACACAGAACTAAATGACAACAAATTATCCTAGGATGTAACGTTAACCCTTCATACCTCAGTCTACTTTTAAGACACTAAAATAACGTATTACAATTTTTATTTTGTTTTCGTTTGTGGAAGTATACCAGCTCTGGTTTCAGTACACATAACAACGGAACCATAGCAACGGAACTGACAGGCAACCCTCTGAATCAGACTCCGATTGGCTGTGACTGCATTCAGTGTCCGATTCAGAAACGTGACTCTTACACTCTTTACGTCACAAACAAAGATGGTGGATGAGAATAGATCTATAAAACGATAAGCAATGCGCCAGAATCAAGGTGAGACTATCTGCATCCTTTAAAACTCTACGCATTCGTTTCACCGAAATAAGTAAACGACTGTATTTGAGTGAGTTAAGGCATTAGCTTGCTTCATTAAAGGGTGTTAATGAATAAGTGTTCTCCAGTGCCTTTTGTCCGCTTTAAGGTGTTATTAAGGTAGGGTTAATGTTGCTCTTAAAGTGCACCAGATTGATGCTTTCAACTTCAATATTTAAAAAAAAAATCTTCCCGGGGGAGCATGCCCCCGGACCCCCTAGAGGAGGCGACAACCCCCCTAAAGGATGTTCAGTCCACCCCTCACTTGTAAAAAAATAGCACTTTACCCCTGCACCCCCCCCCCCCCCCAACAACTCCTGGGCTAAGCCTCGGATCTCCTACAATCCTAAATCCGCCTCTGGTGTACATGTAGTTTATTTCTAAAGACACTTCTTACCCTTTTTCTGGTCCATGTTTCTGAGGAAGAGAAATAGAAACCTTTAGTACACACACTTCAAACATGCGTCACAAACACTCTTCTCTGTCTCTTAAAAAAGTGTGCGCTAGTCCGTGAGACTTAATTAAAGTTACCTTGGAGTTGTACAACCTGCAGAGTAACCCCGTTTCATGGTAGATATGCAGCAGCCTTAAAAGAAGAGTACTTACTGAAAAGACCGATAGCTTCTCTGGCCTGACTCTGGCTTGTTGCTCTGCTCTTTCACTTTCAGCGCTACGTGCTCTCTGGTGACCGCTGCAGGAAGAGAAGAGGAGACACTGAGTTCATCCAGATACGATATGTACCACAGATAACATGTGGACAATGTGACAGAGGTGGGAAGTACTCACGTCTTGTTCTCCTTCAGAAAATACAAATAAGGATATTTTGGGTATTATGATGGGTTGATGTTACTAAATGGATTCTATTTTGAAAAACACCGGTTTTAACCTCCTAATAGTGTAATATTTTTACACGTGAGTACTACTAGGTAAATATCCCTTCACAGCCACTATACACAGAAGGTTTTCACATGGCAATAGGCGCGTTCACTAGTGCTGGGGGGAAGCGATTATTTTGAAAACGATTAATCGGGCGATTATTTGATCGATTAGTCGACTAATCTAACGATTATTTTTCTGTTGTTCAATTCATAAAAAACGTAATGTCAAAAAAAACGTAATGTCAAAAAAAATAATTTCACGATACTGTGTCTCAGGGGATCTTAATATTTAAGAACCTATTAATGTGTTATACCAGATTAACGGAAATAATCTCAGCTAACTGACGATACAAACCATGTTTACCAAAACAAAACACAAGTCTCATAAGAAGCATCTAAATGACCCCTGAGCGAAAAATGCTAACGGACATTGGCACAGAACTCAAGATAAAAGTACCCTTATTACTTATCGTAGCTGCACATACAATATATCCGATTAAAGCTGAGACTCCACAGATTATGTAGGTATATAGTATCATCACTGAGTGATCCGGACTCGCGACAGGAGAAGCAAATACAGACATCACAACACGTACCTTTACGGAGCTTCTAGGGAGATCGTCTCACCATAGCTGTCAATCTGATCAAAAGACGTGTTCAATGGCATTAAAATGAGAAAAAACGCGGCTGAATCGGTGAATCCATAGGTTTTTAACGTCTATGTATAAAAAAATGATTGAATTTATAATCCATTATTCCATTTTATGTAAAAATCGGAGAGCAAATGCTAGCTGCTAATGGTAGCCACCACAGCTAGCTGCTGCTTCTGTTAGGCTATGCAGCAGTCTCAGTGAGATATAAATATATAAATATCTTTGCGTTTTGGACTAACTTTAAAATATTCCCATGCTTTTGAAGACCTAGGGCGAGATGTTTTCGTTTAGGGGCTTCGTGCGCAATCCTGTGAGGAGGAGGTGGTAGCCGTTTCAGTCTCCATTGTGTTTGAAGTGCGATTGCGAACTGCTTGTTGCTTTGGGTGACCCACGTGTGTGTAGCGACGCGTCGACGCGGAAATATGTCGTCGACGATATGTTGAAGTCGACGCGTCGACATCGTCGACGCGTCGCTACAGCACTAGCGTTCACACCACAGTACTTTTCCCACTTTAGTTCCGATATAGTTCCGAAATGTCTCGTTCACACCAAAAAGAGCCGGAACTAAAATTAGTTCATGAGAAACTTTTTACCTCCTTTTCCGTCCCTGCTAGAGAGCAGGGATTTTCGTGGGAGACAAAGGTTCCTATGTCTGATTGGCTGGGCGGATTGCAAACCACGCCCCGTCAAACTCCCAAAAAGTTTTGTGAAGCCGCCATTTTATTATCCTCGCATTAGCATTATTAGCATTAGCATTAGCCCAGTGCAGAAACGCAGAGAGACTAACTTATGGCAACTAGTGTTGTCACGATACCAACATTTTGGTTTCGATACCAAGTCAAGAATTGCGATTCCATCTCTTTTTCGATACTTTTCTAAAAAAAATGTAATTATTGTGCTTTATTTCACACCAGAACCATAACCATAACACAAACTTTTAAACAATGAGAACAATAAACAAAATAAATGACAATAATTCGTATTAAATACAATTAAGCATCATCTCAAACAACTTTTTTGTTTTATAAAATATAATTTTTTTAATATTTTATTAACATGTAATAGTACAGTAATATAAATAATTATTGACAAAATGTATATTGCAGATGTTAGCCACATTGGTAAGTTAGCTAAAAAGATAGCCATATTAGACAGTTATCATTGCCATGAATTGCCTCGTCAAACTACGAAAACGTTCGTTTGTCACAAAATAAATTACACTTGTTTGAGGGCATGGGCTTGAGCATGATGTAATTATGTTATCTATCACATTCGCTAACCTGTCTGTCTTTAAATTCTTTAAACAGCTCTGGATTCCGGTCGGCGGGTGCTTAGCGAAGTTTGATGTGTTGGCTCCCTTGGTTTGCAGGAATCTAAAACATGAGAGTGGAGGCACTTAGAGCGTGCTTGAGAGGGGCGGGACTGCAGGCACGGCTGCAGTGTAGTGATGGGAATTCCGGCTCTTCTTGGTGAGCCGGATCATTTGGCTCGGCTCACCAAGAAGAGCCGGCTCTTTCGGCTCCCAAACGGCTCTTCAGTTTACCACTTATTATACCTTTTAATTCAATCAAATGTAGCCCTGTTTTGACTAATTATATGTGTACAAATATATCACTTAAATTATTCAATACATCCTTTGTACTGAAGTATACAAAAGTAAAAATTACATGTTTAATATAAATGATTTGCTGTGGCAAATTGTTTTCATTGCATTTACAGACCCGTGCAACTCTCTGATACCACCCAATGAATGCATTGACTTGCTTGTAGAACCACGCTACACAAAACAGATAGCAACACCTATAACAACTATTTAAAAACTAATAAAAAGGGGGCTACTGTATCGACCTATATAAAGTATATAAATATAGTTTTTTTTTTCAAAATACCAAAAAGATCCTGCATTTTAGCCATGCCTCATTTCGCTCTATTTGCTCTTTCCAGCGCTGTTTTTGCAGGGGGCTGATTCTGTGAGCTGCAGCTGACCACGCCCCCTGCAGGAGAGGGGAGGTGCTCTGAGATCAGCTGCTGGGCTGTCAGAAGAGGGGGAGAAAAAGAGATCTCCGTCCTCTGTGTTTTATTCTTATAGAAGTAAGAAGATAAGTAATGGGGCAGAAACCCTCCTTTGTACGCAGCGGTCCAGACATAGACATCAAATGGCGACACATATTCAGTTGCCAGTTACTTTGGCATTAGGGCAGGGATATCTAGATACTTTCCAAGGTTTGACATAATGAATTGTGCTACTTTTAAAGCAAGCAACGATGTTTTCAAATCTGTAATCAAAAAGCTCCTCAAAAAACTATCGAAGCAGTTCCTGCCGTTGCTACGTTAGTTCAAACAGTAACAACGGACTACTTTTCTTAGCGGATGCATGTCAATTTAAATCAATACATAAAACTATTTTTTAAATCAATAAAATCATTTTCTAAATCCATAAAAGCATTTCAATTAATATTGGGAGTCATGTCGTTACTTTGTTGAGAATGTGGCCATGTGTAATAAGCGGGATAATGTGCACATTGCATAATGTGCATTCATGCAGATCTAGATCCCTCCGCAAAAACAAAACAAAACCCGGCTCGTTCGCGGGCGAGAGCCGGCTCCTGTCGTTCACTTAAAAGAGCCGGCTCTTTGAGCCGGCTCGTTCGCGACCGACACATCACTACTGCAGTGCAGGGAGTGGAAGCAGAGCGCTGAACACACACGGCTCTTATTAAAACGGCGCTTTCTCACCGGAGTACTTTTCCCCGTCATTCTTAAAGTACCGATACTAATGAAACGGAGGAATCGTACCGTTTTTAACGGCAGGGTATCGCGGTACCTTTCAAGTATCGGTACACCGTGCAACACTAATGGCAACACAAAATAAAACATGGGAGCGGTGGAGATGAGGAGGTGTCGGCGTTCTGGCGATTTACTCGGAAGGCTTCAGTAGAAGCTGCTGGGAGTCCCAGCAGCTTCTACTGAAGCCAGTCCCCTACTCCGGGGACTTCCGGCCGGGGACTTTGGGTGGCAGTATACGCCGTGAAGTGGTTTGCGGCCTGCCAGTAAACCCAAAGCAGAAGAAGAAGAAGTGACGTCAGCGGCTTCATTTGCCTAATCCCCCCTCAGGGACTTATTCCGGTGTGAACGCGATCTGTACTTAGTTCATGAGAACTAAAGAGTTATCAACTTTGGTTCTTAAAACAGATAAAGTAATTATCGTAGGTGACTTTAATATTCATGTTGACGATGATAAAAATAGCCTTACTGTTGCATTTAACTCTATATTAGATTCTGTTGGTTTTTGTCAGAGTGTAAATAAACCAACCCACTGCTATAATCACACTCTCGACCTTGTTCTGACTTATGGTATTGAAATTGAGCAACTATTAGTCGAACCGCATAATCCTGCTTTATCCGACCATTTCTTAGTAACTTTTGAAGTACTGTTACGAGACTACAAAGCATTAGTCAAAAGCTCCTGCAGCAGAAACCTATCTGTTAGTGCTATAGCCAAATTTAAGGAAGAGATTCCACCAATACTTAACTCGATAGCATGTCTGCATGTAAGGGAGGAAACTTATACAAAATGTACACCACCCCAAATTGATCATGTTGTTGATAGTGATACAGATGCGCTGCGAATAAAATTAGACTCTGTTGCTCCTTTGAAAAAGAAGAAAATAAAACAACATAGACTAGCTCCATGGCATAATGCCGAAACCCGCAAAATAAAGCAAAAGTCGAGACAACTTGAAAGGATATGGCGTTCCACTAAACTTGAAGAATCTCGTTTAATTTGGCATATTACTCTCAATGAATATAAGAAAGCACTGCGTAAAGCGAGAGCAGCTTACTACTCTTCATTAATAGATGAGAATAAGAATAATGCAAGATTTCTTTTCAGCACTGTAGCCAGGCTGACAGAGAGCCATAGCTCGATTGAGCCTTCTATTCCCATAGCACTCAGTAGTAATGATTTTATGTGCTTTTTTAACGATAAAATTGTTACTCTTAGAAACAAAATTAATGACCTCTTGCCTTTGACCAGTATAGTGTTATCAACAGCTCCCGGAAACGTAAGTTCCAATATTACACTAGATAGTAAACTAGAATGCTTTTCAGCCATAAACCTTGAACAATTAAATTCAATGATTCGCTCTTCTAAACCATCAACGTGTATGTTAGACCCAATTCCAACTAAGCTGTTGAAGGAAGTTTTTCCATTAATTAGCACTTATTTATTAAATATTATGAATATGTCTTTATTATCAGGCTATGTTCCACAATCATTCAAAGTAGCAGTGATAAAACCGCTTCTTAAAAAGCACAACCTCGATCCAGAGGTTTTAGCCAATTATAGACCTATTTCTAATCTTCCGTTCCTCTCAAAAATTCTTGAGAAAGCGGTCGCAAAACAGTTGTGTGATTACTTAAAAAACAATGATTTATTTGAAGCTTTTCAGTCTGGCTTTAGAACACATCATAGCACAGAGACAGCTCTGGTTAAAGTCACAAATGACATTCTAATAGCCTCAGACAAGGGACGTGTCTCTATTCTTGTTTTGCTCGATCTCAGTGCTGCATTTGATACTATCGACCATGATATCTTATTGCAAAGACTAGAGCACTTAGTTGACATACAGGGAACTGCTTTAGGCTGGTTTAGGTCCTATCTATCTGAACGCTCTCAGTTTGTACGTGTCAATGATGAATCTTCCACGCAAACCAAAGTTAGCCATGGAGTGCAACAGGGCTCAGTGCTCGGACCTATTTTGTTCACATTATATATGCTTCCGTTAGGCAATATTATAAGGAATCATTCTGTACATTTTCATTGTTATGCGGATGATACTCAACTATATTTATCAATCAAGCCTGATGAAATTAATCATCTAAATAAAATTCAAGACTGCCTTAAGGACTTAAAAACGTGGATGACCTTAAACTTGTTGATGTTAAACACGACCAAAACTGAAGTTATTGTACTTGGCCCGAAGAATCTACGAAACAAATTATCTAAGGATATACTAACTATGGATGGCATTAATTTGGCCTCCAGTGAGACTGTAAGGAATCTTGGTGTTATATTTGATCAGGATGTATCCTTTAACGCCCACATAAAATCAATTTCAAGGACCGCCTACTTCCATCTACGTAACATTGCAAAAATCAGGCATATCTTGCCTCAAAACGATGCAGAGAAACTAGTCCATGCATTCGTTACTTCAAGGCTGGATTATTGTAACTCTTTATTATCAGGGTGTACCAAGAAGTCAGTCAAGTCGCTTCAGCTGATTCAAAATGCTGCGGCTCGTGTACTAACCAGAGTTAGGAAAAGGGACCACATTACTCCTGTTCTGGCTGCCTTACACTGGCTCCCTATAGAACACAGGATAGAATTTAAAATTCTTCTTCTCGCCTACAAAGCCCTTAATGGGCAGGCGCCATCTTACCTCAAAGAACTCATTATACCCTACTGTCCTACTAGGGCATTGCGTTCCAAGAATGCAGGGTTGTTGGTTGTTCCTAGAGTCTCTAAAAGTACAATGGGAGCCAGAGCCTTTTCTTATCAAGCTCCACATTTGGGGAATCAGCTTCCAGTTTGTGTTTGGGCGGCAGACACCCTATCCGTTTTTAAGAGTGCGCTTAAGACCTTCCTTTTTGATAAAGCTTATAGTTAGGGCTGATTAGATTCAGCCCCTAGTTTTGCTGATATAGGCTTAGTTTGTCGGGGGACATCTTACTTCTTCCTTCTCTCTGTCTATACCTGTGTACTCTCATGTTCCGATTAACCCAGCTTCCCCAAATGTCTTTCTTTTTGGTGTCTATATACGCCGGGATCCGGAGTCATGGATGATCCTGCGCTCCTCTGTCCTGGATCGCGAGCCCTGGATCGCGAGTCGTGGCTGTGGTCCTGGATCATAGGTCCTGGATGGATATCCTCGTGGATTCATTTTCCTATTATACACACATGCATTTCCAAACATTTGGACTACCTATGTTGCAAATGTATTATCTTTTCAATTTACACACGGCATCTATTGCACGTCTGTCCGTCCTGGGAGAGGGATCCCTCCTCTGTTGCTCTCCCTGAGGTTTCTCCCATTTTTCCCTTTAAACTGTGGGTTTTCTTTGGAAGTTTTTCCTTGTACGATGTGAGGGTCTAAGGACAGAGGGTGTCATATTGTCATACTGATATTTTGTACAAACTGTAAAGTCCACTGAGACAAATGTAACATTTGTGATATTGGGCTATATAAATAAACATTGATTGATTGATTGATTGATTCTCATGAATTAAGTTCTCATGAACCTTTGTGGGAAAAGTACTGCGGTGTGAATGCGCCTAATGGCTTATTAATGTAGATATGTACATGTGAGCAAAAAACTTGGAAAACTGTCATCTGAAATTAGAAGGTTATTATTAAAGCCATACTTACAGCTGAAGACCTGAAAGAGAAGAAAAAAAACGAGTGTCAGTCAGAAGAAATTCATCCATTCAGAGGTAAACCACAGCAATGCTTCCTAACCTCTTGAAGGGATAGTTTGAATGTTATTAGTTGGGGTTTATTGAGGTATTTATAAGGTATAGTTACAGCTTATGTCAAGGTTAAGCACTGAAGATATTCCAAATATACCGTACACTTAGAATTATCTTTCATTATTTCCGTTGGGTTTCCCTTTTTTGAGGTGCGCTCCGCCATCTACTGTAACTGATACAATGACTGTACAGTAGATAAACACCTCATACAACCCCACTTCTAAACATCCAAACTAGCCCTTTAAAGTCACATGATCAGTTCTCTTCACATTGATTGTGTGTGAAATGGATTACCTGTGCAGGGGAAACCACAAGAACCCCTTTGACCTGAAACCAGGCCATGTCATTGCGGTTGCAGGTCAGCATTTTGCTCTCATGGAACAGAACGTCTACGGTGACGATGACCTCCGGGTTTTCCACGAGTCTCCTGCTTTCAGGCACAAAATGATCTTTGTCGTAGGTGTGATGCATCACCACCAGAACGATTGGTTTCCCACCTGTGAGCACAGAGATAATGTTGGGAAAATACTGAATGTCCTCTTCTTCCAATATGAGAGTAACATGATAAAAAAGGTATCCCAACTGTAGCTGTGAACATGACAGGATGTATGATTACCTAGAAGAGCATCAGGACTGTTTTAGGCATATGATAGCTATGTGATTAACATGATGATTCAAAAAAGTCAGGATTTTGAGAAAAATATCCTGATGTTGAAGCTCAAGCCGGTGACGAGTGAGATTTTTCGGTGGGAAATCGGCAAATCATCGTCCTAGACATTTCCTACCTGGGATTTTGTCCATTGCCGCTCTGATGTCTGTTCCAACTCGAGACGCGATGGGACAGAAAAGCACCAAGTAGTCACTTTGTTCAGGAGAGATCACCTCGATTTGACCCAACCCTTTGAGGTCATTAACATAGGTCTCATGAGCACCGTTGGTACATCCTGCCACGGAGACATGGAATTTCTTCCCCGGCACTAAACACAGAGAAGATTTGTTTTGAGTAAAAAAAATTCATTTATACCACAAACCCAGATGTAGAAGAACCATGTCCAAAAGTGTGACTTAAAGTTTCAAAAGCCACCAGACTCCATTGTAAAAATACAGAAAACCACCACCATAATATAACGGACAACTATGTTTGCTTTTGTTCTGTTTTTACCTCTCTGTCATTATTAACGACCAGAGATCCAGTTGTATGATTGTCTCACTACATTTGATCAGTTAAACCATTAAAAATGTATCAGAAATGTTAGAAAAGCAGCTTTATTTTTATTACTAAATGTAGTGTATTGTCTACAATACTGGAATATTGCAGTTTTGAAAGAACACCATGGTGGAAAAGTACTTATTTTGTTCACTTAGAGCCAACTTGTTTGTCTCGTGTTCCCCTTGCGCTGCTCGCCATTCTATAAGAACCCCCTCACTTATTCAATCCAAGTTTATTTATATAGCCCATTATCACAAATCATATTTGTCTCAGAGGGCTTCACAGATCAACAAACACAATTGACAATGTAAACGCAATGTAAAACAATGTAAAAACAACAAACTTATCTTACAAGATCAATGGGAAAATACCAATTTAAAGAGGAACATAACACAATGACAGAAATACAGTTAGAGTACAATACTTAAAATTCCATAAAACGAAGGGTCCATGAGGATGTATAAAAGGGGGGTCTTAACTGTACGCTGTACCAAAGAGGAAAGTCTTCAACCTACTCTTAAATGTGTGGACACTGTCTGCCTCCCTAATCGTCACTGGAAGTTGGCTCCAAAGGAACGGAGCTTGGAAGCCGAAAGCTCTAACACCTGAATTTATCTGTGATTAAATAAGATAAGATGTACTCTCTTGATCCCAATTTGGGACATTTTTGCGTGGCAGCACCATAAAAGACAAGGCACTGCACATAAGAGAAATCAAAAGGGTAGAAATAAACAATTCTAAAATGTAAACATCTCAAAATAGAAAAAAAGCATTAAAAAAAATTAGGGCCGGGACTTTAACGCGTTAATTAAGATTAATTAATTACACAAAAATTAACGCTTTAAAAAAATTAACGCATTTTAATCGCACTTATTTTTGCACCGCGGAACGTTTCTCACTGGATGAGTTTCAGGCGTACCGATTATACTGGAGCACCAACTAACGTTCATGACTTCAGACAACAACAAACCACAGTGAACAACAGTGGGAAATGTTGTTTTAAAAAACGGACGGATGGAAGCGTCGATAAGAGCACGGTTGTGTGCAAATTATGCAAAAAGGAATTCGCATATCACCGCAGCACATCAAGCCTCAAGTATCACCTCAATGCAAAATATATAGCAGCTAGCGTGGAAGCTAGCGTGGACGTTAGCCTCTTTTATCGCGTTCACACCAAAAAGAGCCGGTACTAAAATTAGTTCATGAGAACCTTTTTACCCCCACGAAAGTCCCTGCTAGAGAGCAGAGAGCTGCTAGAGAGCAGGGACTTTCGTGCGGCTCTCTTGTGAGAAAAGAGCTATATTTCTGATTGGCTGGGCGGATTGCAAACCACGCCCCGTAAAACTCCCAAAAAGTTTTGTGAAGCCGCCATTTTATTATCCTCGCATTAGCATTATTAGCATTAGCCCAGCGCAGAAACGCAGAGAGACTAACTTATGACAACACAAAATAAAACATGGGAGCGGTGGAGATGAGGAGGTGTCGGCGTTCTGGCAATTTACTCGGAAGGCTTCAGTAGAAGCTGCTGGGAGTCCCAGCAGCTTCTACTGAAGCCTTCCCCAACTCCGGGGACTTCCGGCCGGGGACTTTGGGCGGCAGTATACGCCGTGAAGTGGTTTGCGGCCTGCCAGTAAACCCAAAGCAGAAGAAGAACAAGTGACGTCAGCGGCTTCATTTGTTCTCATGAACTAAGTTCTCATGAACCTTTGTGGGAAAAGTACTGCGGTGTGAATGCGCCTAATGGTATACTAAAATCCATGTGAAAAAAATTGCTTCTCACTGTTCTCAGCTCAAATATTTATGTGATTAAAAATGCGATTAATTTCGATTAATTAATTACAAAGCCTCTAATTAATTAGATTAATTTTTTTAATCGAGTCCCGGCCCTAAAAAAAATATATACATACATGTTGAAATACCAAGTCACAGTAATTCCACGTTTTTTTTTATGTTTCTTATGTTAAACCTGTTGTTATTGTATTTAACCCAACTGCTCCTTAGATGAAAATCACGTATACCTCACCCTTGATACAAATGCATTTAAACTTGATATTTACACTTATTGTGAGTGAAAAATAATAATATTAAGACTCACTTCTAGCAGTTTCAACATCTATGTTAAGAGCTTTTATTGAGACATTTGACACTTGCTTGTCTTTCATACGCTTTGATAGTTCTGGGGACGGGACACCAGGCTTTTGAATGATTTAAATTAATATGTTTTTTTGTGTGGAAATACGGTATATTGCAATCCCTAATCTTTCTTCCTATCCCCTGCAATACCCTGAAGTACCTCTAGGGTTGGGAACCACTGACTTAAAGGACCAGTGTGTAGCTTTAGTGACATCTAGTGGTGAAAATGCAGATTGCAACCAAGTGCTGCAAGAATTATTATCATTTTTTGATGCCAACCTAGAACAAAAAAGCCACAAAAAAAGCCAATTGAGGGTTTCCATTGGAATTATGAATATTGGGGGAGAAGCTTCGTAGCAAACACAACGTTATGATGGTTATAAGTTTAGTCCAGCAAGATAAAAGCACAACCTTTTTCATAATCATGTGATTGTGTAAATATTATATTCAATTTCTGACAATAATTCCGCCCTGTCCTACACATAGGTCCTTCAAGTTAAAGTGCCCACACCCTGAAACTAAATTAAATCTTATATTTAAAGCTGTGTGTGAGTATTAGCAGCCACTGATCTTTGAATGTTGAAAGTGAAAGTATTCATTGTGCTGTAAAATGGCCCCTCTTAGGGTGTTACCGTCATATAACACAGGCTGTATTTCCTGCTAATCCTTACATTTGACGGATACATTGATATTTAAAATCATCACATTTAGAGACACATGGTGTTCATTAGACAGGTAGGACGAATTGTAATCTGTAAAGTCGTTAAAGCTGTCAGACAAATGTCGTAAAAAAACAGGTGACCTCTGAAATGTGTATAAAGTTGCAAATGTGTACATGTAGTTTATTTCTAAAGACACTTCTTACCCTTTTTCTGGTCCATGTTTCTGAGGAAGAGAAATTGAAACCTTTAGTACACACACTTCAAACATGCGTCACAAACACTCTTCTCTGTCTCTTAAAAAAGTGTGCGTTAGTCCGTGAGACTTAATTAAAGTTAACTTAGAGTTGTATAACCTACTGAGTAACCCCGTTTCATGGTAGATATGCAGCAGCCTTAAAAGAAGAGTACTTACTGAAAAGATCGATAGCTTCTCTGGTCTGACTCTGGCTTGTTGCTCTGCTCGTTCACTTTCACTTTCTGCGGCTACGTGCTCTCTGGTGACAGCTGCAGGAAGAGGAGAGGATACACTGAGTTCATCCAGAAAACATGTGACAGAGGTGGGAAGAACTCACATCTTGTACTTGAGTAAAAGTAGAAGTACTCAGAGATAAGGTGCTATCAAAGCTGGTAAAGGTGCAGCTAGTTTGAATGACTTTGTATACTGCAGGGTAGCTGGTGAATTTACTCCAGGTGGAACTAAAGTCTGATTTAACACTTGATTAGATTTCACATCATTCATCCTGATCTGTGAAGTCACTAAATAAATGTAGTGTAGAAAAAGTACAAAGTAGCAGAAGAGGGAAGTAACTATATGTAAAGTACAGTACTTAAGTAAAACTTTGAGATACTTGTACTTGAATATTTATGCTACTTTGTACTTTTACTCCATTACATGTATTTAATCCCTTTAGTTACTTGTGGATGAATGATGTGAAATATAATCTTAAATCAGACTTTAGTTCCACCTGGAGTAAATCCACCAGCTACCCTGCAGTATACAAAGTCATTCAAACTAGCTGCACCTTTACCAGCTTTGAGAACACTTTAATGATCAATCATTATAATCAAAAGTGAAATAAACTGTATCAAATCAAATAAGAGGAGAAAATTAAATAATGTACAGGAATGAAGATCTTAAATGCAACTTTAATTACTTGTTGTTTTACATTTAAACCTACTCAGTTTTACAGCTTGACCCTCAAACTTGATTTCATTTTAAACTTTTCATTATTTGTATTAAATGTCTACTTATATCCCACTCCCCTGAAGCAGCCTATCAGCTCTCAGAGGCAGGCTGCTGTCAGGAGGACACGCCCCCCTTAATGCTGCATTCATGGTCTGCTCGTAAATTCCTACAACTTAAATATTTCCATTTGATCAGCCTTTACTTCCTGTGCATTACATCTCAGGGGCAAACATTGTACTTGTGTTGCTCCAATTACATGTACAAGAGAATACTCGTTTTTAAATACCTTGAAGATTCATGTTTTTTATATTAAATACAATCAGCTAAAACATGATCATGCATTATAATAGATACATGTGAGATACTGAGTAGTTTCAAAACCAGCTGGGATGGCCACATTAATGCATCAATAATTATAATACACTGACAAAAATAAAGATATTAAAATGGGGCATTCTGCAAAACGAGTTTTAGTATAATAAATGACTGTTGTACTTTAATATATAGAATTTTTTGCACTACTTTTTAATTAGTATTTTTGTATTTCATTATATATTTTGGATTGTTGGAGGTCATAATATTTGCATTGCTATTTCTACACTGTAGCTTTGTGCATAATGACAATAAACCTTTGAATCATGAATCTTTTAATCTAACTTGAGATAAGGCATGAATTGTTTTGCTTGTAACAAAATATTTCTATAATGTAATATTGGTATTTATACACACAAAAATGCTATATTTTACTTTTTTTTACCACTGCATGCTTAGTCAATATAACTGATTCTGTAAATCGCTGTATTTCCCACAGCCCCTGAAGGCAGCAGCAGATGCGGGTCTTATTTGTTCTCCAGCAGGAGGGCGTTCCGCTCACAAACACAAATACAGAGTGGTGAATTATGCTCCACATGCAGATACTGTACATGTTTGTTTCTCCAGACTCTGTGTAGCTCCAGGACCGGGCCTCGCTGTGCAGCTTCGCCGTCCTCAGGGTGTCAAAGCCGGGGAAAAGGCTTCCGAGGAGGCCGGCCTCAGACATGGAGGCTCTGCAGAGGAAAGAGCTGTAGGACGGTAAGATCTCCTCTCATTTGGTGAAGAAAAACCACGAAGAGCAGGTTATGGTGTGCAGGAAAACACTGTATGCTTCAGCTGTTTCCTGCATCCTGAAAAAGAAGCATGTTTTTGTTTTATTTATCTTTTCCTCAGCTCCAGGAAAGGCTGTTTTTTTTTTTTTTTTACAGGGTTGCTGGACCGAGAAAAAAACACATTCCTCGCTTTAACTGCATTATAACCGGTTGTTTCCATTAAAGCTGCATGCCAGTGGCCTTCAGTGTGACATGCACGGTGCGTTCAGGTGTACACTGTAAACATGATCATCATAATAAGTCATCAGGAACAGGAAACGCATCATTTGACTACTTTAACGAAAGCATTCAGACAGTAAAACCTTTATGATGCTAGTACAGATAAACCTTTATTTGCAACCATATGTAAGGTTATATGCAGAGGTGGCAAATGTTTTAGATATTTAACTAAATTAAAACTACAAGTGAAAGTAATGCAGTTAAACAAAAGTATAAGCATACAAAAGTAGAAGTAGTAGTTATTATGTCAGGTGTTGTATTACTGGAGTATAATTAGTGATGTATCCCATCACTTTGATGCTGCAGCTGGTAAAGGTGGAGCTCATTTAAAATATTGTATAATGAAAATTACCGTAGTCTTACACACAACACAATCCTTCAAAAATCTTAAGTAAATACTGAAATATTAGCTCCATCATATTCTCTAAGTACCAAAGTTCAAATGTATCCATGATATCACATTTCATTCTATGTGGTGTTAAAACCCTGATTTGTATAAAATGATTATAGACGTGGCGTGTGGCGCAGTGGATAGAGCGTTGGTGTTGGGATCAGGGGGTCACAGGTTCAAACCCACTGCAGTCAGCATGTCGTTGTGTCCCTGAGACTCTTCACCCCAAATTGCCTCCTGTGGGGATTGTCCACAGTATTGAGTATGTAAGTCGCTTTGGATAAAAGCATCTAACAAGTGACATGTGATGAAATGTAATGTAATAGACCAGGGGTGCCCAACCAGTCGATCGCGATCGACCGGTCGATCGCGGGGAGATTCCCAGTCGATCGCGAGATGTGTCTAAAAATAGAACAACAATATTCTGTTTTATCGTTAATGTCTTGTAACATAATCTTCCTATGCAGAATAATGTACATGAACGCATCAAAGCTTTGTGATTGGCCGGCGTGACCCCATGTGTCGGGGCGTGGCTGGTGGGCAGTGGGCACTATTTCGCTGACGTTGTCCGTGTCAACAGGAGTGACAGTCCGCACACACACAAGACCGCAATTATGGCAGAAGCAAAAAAGCCCAAAATATATAATTTTCACTCCGAGTGGGAGGATGATTATTTTTGTATCTATTCCAATTCAAAGTCCATCTGTCTCATCTGCAATGCGAGTGTTGCTTTATCAAAGAAGGGTAATTTAGGAGCGGCATTTCAAAACAGTGCACAAACGCTACGAGACGGAATTCCCTCCTCATTCTGCCCTACGCTCCCAAAAGGGGAGGGGCCTGAGAGGACAGCTAAATGCACAGCAGTCCATTTTCACCAGGCCCAACAACAAGAGCAAGGCTGCTACCATAGCATCTTATCGTGTCAGTCACGTTCTTGAGAAACACATGAAGTCTTTCAAAGACGGCGAAGTTGTGAAAGAAGCATTCCTGGAGGCTGCGACGCGCTTTTGGGGGACAGTAAAAATAACAGTAGCATTTTAACAGGTTTTTGATATAATAAAAACACAAGTTTGATACCGTTATTAATCAGCTGTAAGTTTTAGTTTGTCTGAACGTATTCATTATAATTATTGTACACAATGGTATAAGAATGCAAACATTAAGATCTGTTCTGTTTAAATTGATTATAGTCTATTATCAATTCAGGTTAAGAAACTAGTGTTGCTTGCATCCTATTTTAAAGGCATTTCTTTTGATATTCTACTAAAATGCAACAAAAAAGGGTTTGATTCTATTAATTTTGTGTTTTTTATTGCACTTTGTCAGCAGATTCCTGAGTAGCTTCAGATCTGAGTTGTCTTATTAGTAAGCCTAATTTATACTTTTGTAGCAACACTATTTTTATATAATGGCAAAGAAAGGGTTCAGAGTCTTTTCTTGTTTTCCTGTGTCATATGTGGCAGCACTGTTCAATGTTTCTTGAAAACATTACCCACTGTAGTGACGTGTGAATAAACTCCAACTCCGTATCAACAACACTGTTGTGTAACTTCAGTTAAATACTTGTATGTGTGTAGATCAGAAAGAGGTAAGATAAAGGATCTGCAGTATTTTATGAAGTATTAATCGTACAAAGGTCAGTTTTATACAAGTAGAAGTGTGTATTTACCTGGTAGTAGGCTGTCAGTAATGGCTACGCCTCTCTATTTGGACTGGTAGATCTCGGCAGACTGGCAACTTTAAAAGTAGCTCTCGGTTCAAAAAAGGTTGGGCACCCCTGTAATAGACCTTCAATTTAAGGACAATTAAAATATGACTTTGCTCGGTGTCAAACCAATCTGTGTGTTTATTAGATTGAATTTTGTGAAATACCACTCACTGTGATGTTCCCTCTTCTCTGTTTTAACGCTGCTTTCTGCAGGGTTTCCTAGCATGGACCCTGCTCCCATCGGAGGGGATATGTCACCTCTGTATGTGCCGAGGAAGAGGAGATCAGTCCAGTCCCAGCCTAAAAGTGGAGTGCCATGTCCAGGTAAAGAACAGTGTATTCTTTATCAACATAATTATGGTGGTAGTAAAATCCTTTCATTGCGTTCATTTTTCTGATTTTGAATTAACTTTTATATTCTCTCCAGTAGTTGTTCAGCGAATACCTGAAAGACCCTGTGACTTAAATTCAGCTGGATATCCCAAGGTGAGAATACACTGATAATAAGTACAACACCTGTTACATTAAATGATCTATATCCAGAAATGTACTTTATGCACGCTTTACAAATGTTTCAGAATGACGAGTCTGAAGCCATGGACGCTCTAAAGATGAAGAGAACCTACGGTAGAAAAAGGTAAGAGACTCATCGACCTGTTGATTTTAGATTTGCATGACAGATACAGCAAACGCTGATAATAATGACAGGGATCTTACGGTCATTAAAAACCTGGAAAAGTCATGGAAATTCTAAATGCTAATTCCAGGCCTTGGAAAAGTTACGGAAAACAATATTTTTCCCAAAGTTTTGGAAAAGTCATGGAAATGTAACTAAAGTTGCTTCAAATATAATTTATATTTTATCTAATCGCATAAATAGTAATACTATAATGATAATAAATACTGTATCGTATAGTAATGAAACGTAAAATGGCATTTAACTGACGAGGTGTTTTGCTGCTGAGAGATTTGAGTTGCTTTAGCGAGAAGCTAGTGAGCCTATTGGATTTGTTTTAGATAGGCACAACATGTTTCATATGCAGACCTTGTTTTCCTGTTCCATGTTCAAATAAACCATTTTCAGTGGTACCGCTGAGAAAGAGTAATTTTTTTGGTCATGGAAAATTAGGTGAAGGTCATGGAAAAGTCATTGAAAATCATTGGTGAAAAAGTGTATGAACCATGTAATGACGAATATAAACATTTATAAACATATTGTTCACGACTGAACCAATACACGCAGCTTAAAAAACAGTCAGTATCTCAAAACGAATGGGCAAGTTATTGCGCTTTTCAAAATGTCAGGTTTATAACCACTAGGAGGCCATCCACATACTTTTTCAAATGCTTGTGACAATCTTAGAAATACAAATGTCTCTCAAAAAACTACTTTTTAAGCGCTCCAATGTTGTAACATTAATCAGTTATACATCAACTAAAGTTAGGCAGCGTCCACAGTGGCAATTTATTTAGAAAGGTCAAAAGTTAGCTAGCTTTAAAATAATCTATACAATACAATACAGCTTTATTTGAAAAGCACTTTCAAAACTCCAGACCAAAGTGCTGTACAGAGAAATAAATAAAATACAAAAATCACAAAACTCAGATTACAAATCATAAAATAAGTGGAAATAGAAATAAAAAGGTCAAAACTAAAACAAGAATCAAAACAATCATAGCGGTAAAATAAATAAAGTGCATTATCACGTTACATTTCCAACATTTGAAATGTAAATATACTGTTTTCTATCAGGTACGAGGACCTGCAGAGTGTTCCCATAGGAGCAGTAGATTACCCAACCACCAGCTGCTCCGTTGTGATGTCATCGGGGGGTCTGGCCAATGGGGCGGACCCAGACTCCTTGGCCCCGCCCGATGCCAGGCTGCCTCCGAGACTTTCTGCATGGCCCCAAGGTCCTGAAACCAGCAGGGGGCCGAATCAGGACCAGGTCTGGAGCCAGGACCAGGTTCTATTCTATTTGTATTTACTTGCACTATTTTAAAGGTCCCCTATTATACTGGTTTTCATCAACATATTACAGGTCTCAGATATATACAGAACCTGTCTCTGATTGGCTGAAACACCAAACAGATCATTGCAGCATTACCCATAATCCCCTCTGTTTCAGCCCTGTTTCAAAAGTGCTGATTCTCTGTCTGTTACTTTAGATGAAAATAAGGAGCCCCTCCCCACGCCCCTCTGAGAGAGATTTGGTTAGAAAGAACTCAATGGTGCTCTAGGAGGAGATTCAGGTGATAAGGTGGGGGGGGGGGGGTTACCTTGGTTGCTGATTGGCTAATGGTTACATTACATGTTACTTGTTAGACGCTTTTATCCAAAGCAACTAACATACTCAATACTGTGGGCAATCCCCACAGGAGCACTTTGGAGTGAAGTGTCTCAGGGACACAACGACATGCTGACTGCAGTGGGGTTTGAACCTGTACTCCCCTGATCCGAACACCAAGGGTCTATCCACTGCGCCACAAGCCAAAAAATCGTTATGACATCATAAAGTGGCCAAAATCGGATCAACTCATTCTCAGACAGGTTTTTATAGAAATGGATCAAAAAGAGAGAGAATCTTTGTTCCTGAAACTTTCAGAGTCTCTTTCCACAGAGGGGACACATGTTGATGTAGAAGAGACCTGAAGAAGAGGGGACACATGTTGATGTAGAAGAGACATGAAGAAGAGGGGACACATGTTGATGTAGAAGAGACATGAAGAAGAGGGGACACATGTTGATGTAGAAGAGACATGAAGAAGAGGGGACACATGTTGATGTAGAAGAGACATGAAGAAGAGGGGACACATGTTGATGTAGAAGAGACATGAAGAAGAGGGGACACATGTTGATGTAGAAGAGACATGAAGAAGAGGGGACACATGTTGATGTAGAAGAGATGTGAAGAAGAGGGGACACATGTTGATGTAGAAGAGACATGAAGAAGAGGGGACACATGTTGATGAAGAAGAGACATGAAGAAGAGGGGACACATGTTAATGTAGAAGAGACATGAAGAAGAGGGGACACATGTTGATGTAGAAGAGACATGAAGAAGAGGGGACACATGTTGATGTAGAAGAGACATGAAGAAGAGGGGACACATGTTGATGTAGAAGAGACATGAAGAAGAGGGGACACATGTTGATGTAGAAGAGACATGAAGAAGAGGGGACACATGTTGATGTAGAAGAGACATGAAGAAGAGGGGACACATGTTGATGTAGAAGAGACATGAAGAAGAGGGGACACATGTTGATGTAGAAGAGATGTGAAGAAGAGGGGGACACATGTTGATGTAGAAGAGACATGAAGAAGAGGGGACACATGTTGATGAAGAAGAGACATGAAGAAGAGGGGACACATGTTAATGTAGAAGAGACATGAAGAAGAGGGGACACATGTTGATGTAGAAGAGACATGAAGAAGAGGGGACACATGTTGATGTAGAAGAGACATGAAGAAGAGGGGACACATGTTGATGTAGAAGAGACATGAAGAAGAGGGGACACATGTTGATGTAGAAGAGACATGAAGAAGAGGGGACACATGTTGATGTAGAAGAGACGTGAAGAAGAGGGGACACATGTTGATGTAGAAGAGACATGAAGAAGAAGGGGACACATGTTGATGTAGAAGAGACATGAAGAAGAGGGGACACATGTTGATGTAGAAGAGACATGAAGAAGAGGGGGACACATGTGATGTAGAAGAGACATGAAGAAGAGGGGACACATGTTGATGTAGAAGAGACATGAAGAAGAGGGGACACATGTTGATGTAGAAGAGACATGAAGAAGAGAGGGACACATGTTGATGTAGAAGAGACATGAAGAAGAGGGGACACATGTTGATGTAGAAGAGACATGAAGAAGAGGGGACACATGTTGATGTAGAAGAGATGTGAAGAAGAGGGGACACATGTTGATGTAGAAGAGACATGAAGAAGAGGGGACACATGTTGATGAAGAAGAGACATGAAGAAGAGGGGACACATGTTAATGTAGAAGAGACATGAAGAAGAGGGGACACATGTTGATGTAGAAGAGACATGAAGAAGAGGGGACACATGTTGATGTAGAGAGGACATTGAAGAAGAGGGGACACCTGTTGATGTAGAAGAGACATGAAGAAGAGGGGACACATGTTGATGTAGAAGAGACATGAAGAAGAGGGGACACATGTTGATGTAGAAGAGACATGAAGAAGAGGGGACACATGTTGATGTAGAAGAGACATGAAGAAGAGGGGACACATGTTGATGTAGAAGAGATGTGAAGAAGAGGGGACACATGTTGATGTAGAAGAGACATGAAGAAGAGGGGACACATGTGATGAAGAAGAGACATGAAGAAGAGGGGACACATGTTAATGTAGAAGAGACATGAAGAATAGGGGGGACACATGTTGATGTAGAAGAGACATGAAGAAGAGGGGACACATGTTGATGTAGAAGAGACATGAAGAAGAGGGGACACATGTTGATGTAGAAGAGACATGAAGAAGAGGGGACACATGTTGATGTAGAAGAGACATGAAGAAGAGGGGACACATGTTGATGTAGAAGAGACGTGAAGAAGAGGGACACATGTTGATGTAGAAGAGACATGAAGAAGAGGGGACACATGTTGATGTAGAAGAGACATGAAGAAGAGGGGACACATGTTGATGTAGAAGAGACATGAAGAAGAGGGGACACATGTTGATGTAGAAGAGACATGAAGAAGAGGGGACACATGTTGATGTAGAAGACACATGAAGAAGAGGGGACACATGTTGATGTAGAAGACACATGAAGAAGAGGGGACACATGTTGATGTTGAAGAGACATGGAGAAGAGGGGACACATGTTGATGTATAAGAGACATGAAGAAGAGGGGACACATGTTGATGTAGAAGAGACATGAAGAAGAGGGGACATATGTTGATGTAGAAGAGACATGAAGAAGAGGGGACACATGTTGATGTAGAAGAGACATGAAGAAGAGGGGACACATGTTGATGTAGAAGAGACATGAAGAAGAGGGGACACATGTTGATGTAGAAGAGACATGAAGAGACATGAAGAAGAGGGGACACATGTTGATGTAGAAGAGACATGAAGAAGAGGGGACACATGTTGATGAAGAAGAGACATGAAGAAGAGGGGACACATGTTGATGTAGAAGAGACATGAAGAAGAGGATTTTGCATAATAGGTGACCTTTAACTATTGTATCTGTGTTATTGTGTTGCTGTTGGAGGAGCCTGTGATCTAAGATTTTCATTGATATATCTACACTGTAGCTAATATATAAATGACAATAATAGCCTTGAATCTTGAATCTTGAACCAGGTCTGGAGCTCTGGAAGGGACAGACTGGGACACTCGAGCCAGGACCAGGTCTGGATGCCGGGTCGGGACAGGGTTCAGGATCAGGGCTGGAGCGCAGGAAGAGAGCGAGGACCCTCGGAGGATCAGAGCTGGGGACCGGGCCGGAGCCAAGACCCCCCCTGGAACCACACGAGAGGAGACAGAGGGCCCGTCTGGAGACCCGGTAACCACACTTTACTTTAAAGGTCACCTATTATGCAAAATCCACTTTTTCATGTCTTTTATACATTTGGGAGATTGATTTTGTTCAGTTACTTTCACAGACTTGAACATGAAGAAAGTCCTGAGAGTGGAGATGGAGCGAAGTCCTCCGGTCAATAACTTCTCACCGCCGTCAGAGGGCAGAGACTCCTGTAAGTCAACATCCTGTCTGATATTACAGGAGATAGAGTGAGACTCATTACTAGACATTCATTGTTTTGTCAAATATGTTCTAAATAATTGCATCTTCCTAGGACTATTAGCACTAGCAGTCTCGCTAGCAGCCACATTGTTTAGGCTGTCAAATACACTGCACCGTTTTAGATTCAATGAGTGTCTCGTTTGCAAATGCTTCATTAAGTTGCTTTTGTTACCCCCTTTACAAGCAACTAATTGAGTACATAGATTGCACCTTGCACTATCGCCACTACATTTTTTAAAGTGCACCCAGACCTTCGATCGCTTCGCTCTGTCCGCCATGCCTGCGGGAGTCTCACAACAATAATAAGAGCGCTAATGAGAGAGATGACGAGTGGCATTTACAGTGGCCAATCAGAGGGGTCTCAAACCGGATACATCACACGGGATCAGGGTTCCCAACCAACCAGAATGGTTTAAAGTTAAACTAAGGAAGTAGACGTAACACATATACCGATAGCTGCACCGTTTGTCCAGCGGCTTAACGGTGTACCGATACCGTCCAATCAGGTACCGGTATTGACTTAGTACCGGTTCTCGATACCCATCTCTAATCTTCAGTAAATATTCCAGGTTCAGAAGCAGCCAGTGTTGATGAGGTTCCGACGGTTCAGCCGAGTGAGGATCAGAAACCCCCCCCCACCAAGAAGGAGCCCCCCACCTACCCTCCAGGTGAGAGGTTTCATTTCTTTGAAAAGGTTCACCTTCTGTTAAGTATCGCTGTCTTGTCTAAAATGACTCCTTCAGGTAAATAGATCGATTATAGAGTACGGTTGGGTTAAAAAAACTGTCAATTCAACTTAGAATGAAACTTCAGAAGCTGCAGTAACATATTCACTGATACCACAGGTCACAATATAAAAGGACTTATATATTTATATTGTCTAAAATGAAACCTTTATTAATGCTATTTTTCCAGAGGTCCTTTAAATATGTTTGAACATTGCACTTCCGCATGTCTTGCAGCATTAACTAATTTCTATCTCTGTAATGAATTGACTTTTTGTTGAATGTATTTATTTCTAAATTGTAATGTGTTATTGCCTACAGTATGTAAAGCTCTTTGAATTGCCTTTGTGTCTGACGTGTGCTTCATAAATAAACTAACCTTAACCTTTGTTTGTTTGTCCCACCAGGAAGTCCAGAGGAGTACTGGCAGCTGCAGATCGTGGCCAAAGGCAGAGTGACCTGTCCGAAGTGTAAGAGTGTGAGCAGGAAGACGGTGGAGGGGCTGAAGAAGCACATGGAGAACTGCAGACTGGTGAGCACACAGTCTGAAGTTAGTCAGAGTTAAAAGCATATTTTAAACACACAGCCTTTTATCTATACTGTGTGACAGAGCCATTACTCACACAGTATAGAAGTAAAGCACAGTAATCGATCTACAAGTATCTACCTATCTCTCTCTCTCTATCTCTGTCTGTCTCTATCTATCTATACACAATCTCCTGTCCCCTAGTCCTAGAGAACACAAACACCTCTGAAAAGAAAGTATCTAACTCTAACAAACCTGCTAAGACTCTTCTCTTCGGAGTCCCAATCAACTGGAGTGTATGTATACTCGTTTATAGCGTACACACTGTATAAATTGGCACGTATGATATGTGTTGTGTATAGCAACCGTTCACTTGTCAGCACTGTGGGAAACAGCTGAAGTCTTCAACAGGGATGAAGTATCACGTCATGGCCGACCACAGCCACCTGGTGAGAATCTAACACTTATGTCTCTTTCATTTTTAAACTTTCCATATGTAAAACATGTTTAGTGGAGTTTGTGGGATTGATTATGGTGTTCTGATTTTATAAGACGTTTTTTCTCTGTTTCCAGCCGTCAGCAGAAGACGCCAAGAACCTGGATGATCGTGCCATCAAAGACAAACTGCGCAAAATCCTGAAGAGACTGGGCAAATTAAAATGCTCTAAAGAGGTCAATCATATTTATTTGATACCATAGCATCACAGAAGCTCCATCAACAACATCAACAAGATACAGACAAGATAAGAAGTACTTTATTGATCCCAATTTGGGAAATGTTTGCGTTGCAGCAGCATAAAAAGACAAGGCATTGTACAATAAAATTAAAAGACGAGAAATAAACATTCCAAAATGTAAACATCTCAATAGAAATAAAATAGCATTAAAACAAAAGTAGAAAACATACATGTTGAATTACAAATGTACAGTAACATGTCATAACAAGGACAAATATTAAGAACACATGCAAGGAAAAAGACGTCTCACAAAACATTACATTGACTCAAAAAAGGATAATTTAACGTTCATTCAACCTGTGATTTAAATGATGTGTTTTTCTTCTGCTCAGGGCTGCAGTGCTGCGTTCACCAGCATCATGGGCTACGTTTACCACATGAAGAAGTGCGGGAAGGAGGAGTCGGAGCTGGAGAAGATGCTGCTCAACTGCTCTCACTGCGGGAAGACGTACAAGTCGAAGGCCGGTCTGGAGTACCACCTGAAGTCAGAGCACGCTCCTGTGAGTCTGGGATGTTTATTTAAGGTTTTATATATATGCAGACACATAGCAGCCCAAACGTGCAGCCAAAAACACCTGAAATAAACAACAATAAGACAAAGTAATACATTAAACAATGAAAGGACGTCACAATTAAATAATGATGACTGTATGGAATCCAGTCTTAAAGGTCTCCTATCATGCTAAATGCACTTTTTGATGTATTTTATACATAAATATGTGTCCCCGGTGTGTCAGGGAACTCACATAGTGTCAAACAAAACCCTCTCTCTTTTCCTCCGTACCCAAATCTCTAAAAACGGGGGATACAACGGAGCTGATCCAGATTTGCGTCCGATATGATGTAAATCACATCATATCGAAAATGTGGACTCACGGGTCAATCAGAAACGTCGCTATCGGAAACAATGCCTGACGTGATTTGGACGTAATATGGTCTTTGTTTACGTTAGCAAGCATCGCTAACACTCAGAGCTAACCTGTACTGGAGAGAGTATGTGTATAAAAAGGTACTCACCTTGTGGTAAACCCGCAAGAAAAGAAGCATTCGATCTCCATACTGTTTCAGAAATAATCCTTGAAGTGGTTTGGAACATAATACGGTGTTTAATAAGCTTGGTATTTTGAGCAAAACACTTCAGAGACATGTTTTGTATAGATATGGCCCTATAATATATTGTACAAATATCGCATAATAGGTGAGCTTTAAGAACTGAATATACTCTTGAAATCTTTCCCCCCTGTTCCCCAGACTCCTGTGAAGAGTGAGGAAGACGAGGCTCTGAAGGCTCACAGAGAGGCGAACCCTGAGCGCACGGCGAGCGGTCGGGTGCAGCGAGTGTCCGCGCAGGTCGCTAACTTCCACCTCGCCGAGATCGCCAACAACGAGCTGCCCAAAGACTGGCCCAAGAGGAAGTTCCAGTCCGACCTGGTGCCGGACGACAAGAAGGCAAGAGCAGAATGTCTTCAATGTATATGTGGAGTTGGGGGATATATGAGAGTATGTTTCTTTATTGTAAATTATTCCAACAGAGGAAGGTGGTGTAGGAATGATTGCTAAAACCTGGAAATGAGCATTTTCAGCACTTTTGTTACGTGTTTTTGGTTGTAAACCTGAAATAAGAAAATTAGCCGCCTTTAGCTTAGCAGTCGTGACGTGAAGTCATGTGACCATGCTGTAGTTCCATTATAGCCGAACATTAAGTTGAAGTCATGTGACCATGCTGTAGTTCCTTTATAGCCCATCATTAGCCACCTTTAGCTTAGCGGTGGTGACGTGAAGTCATGTGACTGTGCTGTAGTTCCTTTATAGCCCATCATTAGCCACCTTTAGCTTAGCGGTGGTGACGTGAAGTCATGTGACTGTGCTGTAGTTCCTTTATAGCCCATCATTAGCCACCTTTAGCTTAGTGGTGGTGACGTGAAGTCATGTGACCGTGCTGTAGTTCCTTCATAGCCCATCATTAGCTACCTTTAGCTTAGCGGTGGTGACGTGAAGTCATGTGACCATGCTGTAGTTCCATTATAGCCCAACATTAAGTTGAAGTCATGTGACCGTGCTGTAGTTCCTTTATAGCCCATCATTAGCCACCTTTAGCTTAGCGGTGACGTGAAGTCATGTGACATTACATTACATGTCACTTGTTAGACGCTTTTATCCAAAGCGACTTACATACTCAATAATGTGGGCAATCCCCACAGGAGCAATTTGGGATGAAGTGACATGCTGACTGCAGTGGGGCACCACACGCCTCCCATGTGACCGTGCTGTAGTTCCTTTATAGCCCAACATTAGCCACCTTTAGCTTAGCGGTGGTGACGTGAAGTCATGTGACCGTGCTGTAGTTCCTTTATAGCCCAACATTAGCCACTTTTAGCTTAGCGGTGGTGACGTGAAGTCATGTGACCGTGCTGTAGTTCCTTTATAGCCCAACATTAGCTACCTTTAGCTTAGCGGTGGTGACGTGATGTCATGTGACCGTGCTGTAGTTCCTTTATAGCCCAACATTAGCCACCTTTAGCTTAGCGGTGGTGACGTGAAGTCATGTGACCGTGCTGTAGTTCCTTTATAGCCCAACATTAGCCTCCTTTAGCTTAGCGGTGGTGACGTGAAGTCATGTGACCGTGCTGTAGTTTGTAGCCTAACGTTTCACTTTTGTAGGTTGCATTTATGCTTTTAAAAATCATAAAATATGTGATATAAGGCTTTTAGTGACCTCATCCTGGATATGCTTCTCTTCTCAGTTGAAGTACGCCCGGCCCGGTCTGCCTGCCTTTCAGTCAGGAGGTTCTGAGGAAGTGGAAGAATGAGGTGAAGCTACAGAGGAAGGTCCAGTGTCCCAACCAGGTAACACAGCATCACGCTCGGTTATTATATTTGGTTCTATTTCTATTAATCTCAGATGTTTTCCTTTGAATCTCAGGATTTGTATCAATTCCTAACTAAGTGCAGAACCCAGGATGTAACTTAATACGTGTCCTCCTCAGGGTTGTTGCTCCGTCTACACCAGTGTGTCCGGACTCAAAGCTCATCTGGGACTCTGCAACAAGGTACGTCAGCTTTCTTCTTTAACTCTGAAATATAATATGCAGCAGAGTAAATATTCCATGCATAGTCAAGTCAATATTAACATGTATTTAAACATGTTCCAGTCTTTGATTACAAGACTGGATTAACAGGAATATCTAAGTAGGTATCCACATCTTCGTAATGTAATACAGACATTCTGCTTACAGTACATGATCACAATACAGATGAATAGTTAAGATTACGAGGTACAACATATTTAAGGGCATCATAATCCTTTCATGTCTCTTTTGTTTCTTCTCATCTCAGGGCGACTTTGAGGCTGGAAAGTACAGATGTCTGATCTGCAACAAAGAGTTTAACTCTGAAAGTGGAGTGAAGTACCACATCAACTCTGTCCACTCTCAGGTAAAAGCCCACCTCTCAAACAGGTCTCTTTAACCTTGTTTACAGAATAAATAAGAATGTTTTCTCTCTGGTAAAACACCTGAACTTTGAAAGAACATCCATAACATTCATCTGTTTGCAACTTACAAATGATGTATCTAATATATCATATTCCAATTACTTGTATATAGACTCTCCTTGCACTATTTCTATTCTATTTGTATTTACTTGCACTATTTTATCTGTTGTATTGTGTTGCACTGTTGGAGTAGCATGTGACCTAAGATCTTTATTGACATATCTTCACTGTAGCTCTGTACACATGACAATAAAAGACTTGAATCCTTGAATCCTTGGTTGTAGACTACATTAAATTGAACCTCCTTTCTAACAGGACTGGTTTGTGACGAACAAAAAAGCCTCCAAGAAGTTTGAGAAGTTCCTGAAGAACCAGCCCAAGGAGTTCATCCAAAACGTGGACAAGCAGATCGTAGACCAGTACCACCACCATCACACACACCATCAACACCATCAACACCACCAACACCAGTTCCAGCAGCACCCAGAGGTGGGTACCTGTACTTTTACTTCTCACATTTTGAACTCAAATACCTGTACTTTCTACTTCTCACATGTTGAACACAAATACCTGTACTTTCTACTTCTTACATGTTGAACACAAATACCTGTACTTTCTACTTCTTACATGTTGAACTCAAATACCTGTACTTTCTACTTCTTACATGTTGAACACAAATACCTGTACTTTCTACTTCTTACATGTTGAACTCAAATACCTGTACTTTCTACTTCTTACATGTTGAACACAAATACCTGTACTTTCTACTTCTTACATGTTGAACCCAAATACCTGTACTTTCTACTTCTTACATGTTGAACACAAATACCTGTACTTTCTACTTCTTACATGTTGAACACAAATACCTGTACTTTCTACTTCTTACATGTTGAACACAAATACCTGTACTTTCTACTTCTTACATGTTGAACTCAAATACCTGTACTTTCTACTTCTTACATGTTGAACCCAAATACCTGTACTTTCTACTTCTTACATGTTGAACTCAAATACCTGTACTTTCTACTTCTCACATGTTGAACACAAATACCTGTACTTTCTACTTCTTACATGTTGAACTCAAATACCTGTACTTTCTACTTCTTACATGTTGAACACAAATACCTGTACTTTCTACTTCTCACATGTTGAACTCAAATACCTGTACTTTCTACTTCTTACATGTTGAACCCAAATACCTGTACTTTCTACTTCTTACATGTTGAACTCAAATACCTGAACTTTCTACTTCTTACATGTTGAACTCAAATACCTGTACTTTCTACTTCTTACATGTTGAACACAAATACCTGTACTTTCTACTTCTTACATGTTGAACTCAAATACCTGTACTTTCTACTTCTTACATGTTGAACTCAAATACCTGTACTTTCTACTTCTTACATGTTGAACCCAAATACCTGTACTTTCTACTTGTTACATGTTGAACTCAAATACCTGTACTTTCTACTTCTTACATGTTGAACTCAAATACCTGTACTTTCACTTCTTACATGTTGAACACAAATACCTGTACTTTCTACTTCTTACATGTTGAACTCAAATACCTGTACTTTCTACTTCTTACATGTTGAACTCAAATACCTGTACTTTCTACTTGTTACATGTTGAACTCAAATACCTGTACTTTCACTTCTTACATGTTGAACACAAATACCTGTACTTTCTACTTCTTACATGTTGAACTCAAATACCTGTACTTTCTACTTCTTACATGTTGAACCCAAATACCTGTACTTTCTACTTCTTACATGTTGAACTCAAATACCTGTACTTTCTACTTCTTACATGTTGAACACAAATACCTGTACTTTCTACTTCTTACATGTTGAACTCAAATACCTGAACTTTCTACTTCTTACATGTTGAACTCAAATACCTGTACTTTCTACTTCTTACATGTTGAACACAAATACCTGTACTTTCTACTTCTTACATGTTGAACTCAAATACCTGTACTTTCTACTTCTTACATGTTGAACCCAAATACCTGTACTTTCTACTTCTTACATGTTGAACTCAAATACCTGTACTTTCTACTTCTTACATGTTGAACTCAAATACCTGTACTTTCTACTTCTTACATGTTGAACACAAATACCTGTACTTTCTACTTCTTACATGTTGAAACCCAAATACCTGTACTTTTCTACTTCTTACATGTTGAACTCAAATACCTGTACTTTCTACTTCTTACATGTTGAACTCAAATACCTGTACTTTTCTACTTCTTACATGTTGAACCCAAATACCTGTAATTTCTACTTCTTACATGTTGAACTCAAATACCTGTACTTTCTCTTGTTACAATGTTGAACTCCAATACCTGTACTTCTACTTCTTACATTTTGAACCCAAATACTGTACTTCTACTTCTTACATTTTGAACTCAAATACCTGTACTTTCTACTTCTTACATGTTGAACTCAAATACCTGTACTTTCTACTTCTTACATGTTGAACTCAAATACCTGTACTTTCTACTTCTTACATGTTGAACCTCAAATACCTGTAATTTCCTACTTCTTACATGTTGAACCAAATACCTGTACTTTCTACTTCTACATGTTGAACTCAAATACCTGTACTTTCTACTTCTTACATGTTGAACTCAAATACCTGTACTTTCTACTTCACTCAATACCTGTACTTTCTACTTCTTACATGTTGAACTCAAATACCTGTACTTTCTACTTCTTACATGTTGAACACAAATACCTGTACTTTCTACTTCTTACATGTTGAACACAAATACCTGTACTTTCTACTTCTTACATGTTGAAACTCAAATACCTGTAACTTTCTACTTCTTACATGTTGAACACAAATACCTGTACTTTCTACTTCTACATGTTGAACTCAAATACCTATACTTTCTACTTCTTACATGTTGAACTCAAATACCTGTACTTTCTACTTCTTACATGTTGAACTCAAATACCCTATACTTTCTACTCTTACATGTTGAACTCAAATACCTGTACTTTCTACTTCTTACATGTTGAACTCAAATACCTGTACTTTCTACTTCTTACATGTTGAACTCAAATACCTGTACTTTCTACTTCTCTCATTTTCCAAACAGCTGGTTCCTTTAGTCTGAATGTGTGTTTGATGCGTGATCATTATTCTTTAGAGTCATTGCGTGCCTATTGATTTGAACACAATCCGTGTATCCATCATTTCCTGGTCTTCTCTAAAGAAGAGGGACCAATGGAAACGTTGTCATGTTGCCGTTGTTCAGCATGGAAACATTCATTAGCTAACAATGACATTATTGTTCTATTAATATAAAGGGAGGTCAGGTACTCTTTAAAACAGCTGGGAGTTATGGGTACTTTTTACTTAAGAACATGTCGAAGCCTCTTTACTTTGACTTGAGTAAAGAAGTTTAGTCAGTACTTCTACTTTTACCAGAGTACTTTTAAACACGAGTATCTGTACTTCTACTTAAGTAAAGGATGTGTGTACTTTTGCACCCCATTCAGCACCCTCATCAGTCCATGCAGCACCCTCTTCAGCCGCTGCATCACCTCCAGCACCAGCACCACCTCCAGCACCAACATCAACACCTGCACCCAGAGAACCAGCACCTCCATCAGCAGGCGGAGCAGCCCACGCTCCACTACACCTCTCTGGAGCCTCCTCCTGGGTCCATGTGGGTGGAGATGGAGCGTATTGGAGCCATGCCGACACCGGAGCAGGCTCCTATAGAGATAGAGACGATGGTGGATGGAGGCAAAGGGGACGGCGGAGGAGGAGGAGGGATGGTGGAGGGGAAACGGAGGAAGAAGGAGGAGGAGGAGGAGGTGGGGATGGGTGACGGGAAGCAGAAGGATTGCTTTGCTTTTGGAGGTGGAGGTGGAGGTAATACTGTCAGCGAATCAGAGGTGGAGCAGCAGGACAGGCGGAGAGACGTTGACCAGTGGAACCTGAAACGACCCGGCGTCATGGAGACAAATCCTGAGGCTGGGAAAGGACAGAGGAACACTTAAAATAACACGTAACACTTAACAGAGGTGGAAACAGAGACCGTGGACACTTAAAATAACACTTAACAGAGACCATGGAGTGTCCCTCCGTCCTTTATTAGCCGTGACGTAGAAGAAAACGAACCACAGGACAAACAAGGTGAGAAGGCAGCTGGTGATTTAACGTTTTTAAAAAGTGGAGGAAATGATGGAAACCGTCACAACATCCTAACATGGATAAATGAGACACTTCTAGTTCAGAGGCTGTGGTGAAGTGGTCGTCATTGTATAGACAACTGTAGTATATCTGTGTTTATCTGTAATAGATTATTTTCTGCAACTCTAAACGTGTCCTATTCTTTTGATAAACCTGTCTCTCATATTTACCTTAAAGGGAAACATTAAGAGAGGCTGCTAACAGGATTTTAATAGACTCTGAAAATATAAATAATATTTTGTGCCTCTTATGATTTGTATAACTTCATACTATACTCATCTTTACTTTTACTTACAACTTATTAGCCTTTTCTGGGCGTAGTGAAGGTAGAAGTGTCACTTGTTCTGGTATAATTGGATAGCAAAAGGATTCCCCTCACCATGCTCCTTCCTCTAATATGTTTTCATCAGTAGGCTTGATTTTATTGACAGGGAAAAGTTCATGTCTAGCATCAAGAAGCCGTTTTGAAACTAAGACTGTTTGCAGCTCCTTGTCCAGTTATAATAGTTAAAGCAGGAAAATCAAGGAAGCAAATGCAAAAAAAGTAAAGACTTGAGAAAATTCAAACCACTCTTTTGGAGTACAGAACAATATCAAAACATGACAAATTACTTTCATTTTATTCCCATGTGTATGGAAGTCCTTAGAAGCAAATGTGAGTCAAACAAAGACTAGTCCTTTTTAAAGCAGCTCCTGTCAGCCACCTCTCGATATCACACCCCTAACACTCTCAATATCTACTTTCCAAAACACAGGAAACAACAATATAGGTTTGTCAAGAAGGTAAAATACTTGATGGGATTACTTCGAGTTTAAATCTGCCCCAAACAGACAATAGTTTTTTAGTTGTGTTTCTGTAGTCTTTTAAAGGATGTGGAACACTCTCCATTTCTTTTGAGTTAGCTATAACACAAATCTAACCTAAAGGAAGATCCAAACCACTCTGGTTGAGTACAGAACAACAGCAAGAAAAGACAAATTGCTTTAAATGTATTCCCATTTGTATGGAAGTCTTTAAAAGTAAATGTGATATAAAATAATCTGATGCCCAAAATGTTGGACTAGTCCTTTAAAATGTCAGCCTATATCAGGATATCACACCCCTAACACTCTCAATATCTACTTTCCAAAACACAGGAAACAACAATATAGGTTTGTCAAGAAGGTAAAATACTTGATGTGATTATTTGCAGTTTAAATCTGCCCAAAACAGCCAATATGTGTGAGTTGTTTTAGTCTTTTAAAGGATGTGGAACACTCCGAATCCATTTCTTTTGAGTTAGCTATAACACAAATCTAAACTAAAAGTATATTTTACCAGTTTTTCTAAGAAACTAGTGACATATTTTCACTTTCCTCAGCATATGTAGCTCTGTTTAACATACATATAATGACAACTGCTCTGGAACTAGTGAGTGAGACCTTTTATTAAGATGTTTTTTGTATCCAACTATGTTTTCCATGATATTAATGATTCTAACTTAGGTTTTTAAATCAGTTTGAAACATTCCAGTCATGAGTTTATCAGTAGTGAAAATTGAATTAAAGCACATAAATATAATTGGTTCTAATTGGCTGTTAACAAAACAACAGCCAATAAATGTGACTGACAGTAACTATGACGAAGGAAAGCTAACACACAAAGCATTTAACACGGAGGGCGACTGTTTGTCTTTCTGTTTATTTAGAGACAGAATATATAACCGATAGCATGTAGCTTAATGTTCATACTTATGCATTTTGTATCTACTACAGTGAGTTATGGATGGTTGTCAGTCATACGTTGGTGTCGTCTTAACAATATTTGTTTTTTACAACTTAAAAGCATTTATGAATGTATTAATTTCCCCCCTGTGTTGTGCACTTCTTAAACCACTTTCCTTCCTTTAAGAAAAAGGAAAATTGGTTTATCATCCATGATTAGATTCCTATATTTACTGATTCTGGTTATAGTGCTTTACCCGTCATTAACTTTCATCAGATGCCTTTTGGATGAGTTTTAAACGGAAAACCTCCTTGGACATGGGAAGCATTTCAAAAAGCAGGTCAGGCAGTGGTGGAGAACATGCAAATATCTATTTAGGACAATTTCATTCTCACTATAATGTCTATTTACTTAAAAAGCAAGTGATGAAAACGCTTTGTTAATAGAATAAATGTTTATTTTGTTGTTCCTTTTGCCTTTGGTGCTAGCATGTTGCAGCATTTAAAAATACTTTTTGATTTACTAAGTTTTTGATGAAGTTTAAATTAGCTGCTTTTAGTCTTTGTTTAGACACTGTATGTCTAGTTATTATTTAAAATAATTATAATGGTGTAATACTCATCAGTTTAATTCATTAACTAAGTCATTGGATTTCAACTGTATGGCTTGTAACCCCTTGAAATGAATGGTATCTTCTTGCAACCCATCGTCAGTGGTTGCATGTTAAGGATGCAGCTAACGATTATTTTCAGTCTTTGAATATTAGAAAATTGTGGAAAACATCCATCCTATTTTCTCAAAGTCTAAGGGGATGTCTTGAATCTTCAGTCCAGAATCTAAATATATCCAGTTTGATGGGATATAAAATAGAAAATCATGAACAATCCACATTTAAAAACGCAGAAAACAACATTTTATACAATTTTTACTTTTCAGACGTAAGGTTAAACTCTCCTTGCTTTTGAAATACTTCCCATGTCCTCTTATGCTTGTGACCAAATCGTTATCACTATGTGCGCACTTTGAACAGTTTGATAGCACGAAGGGAAGGAGCTCTTACAAGTGACCTGCTTTGTTATCAAGAAAAAGTCAAAGCATTAATATGTTAGGGCAATTTCGTTCCAGTAATTCAAGAAGTGAAACTCCATATTTCATGTTTTCCCGGTCATTTGCACTTTTTGTCTCACTGCTCACTACAGTCTCATCCTTTCATCTTAATGCTGGAGTACATGACTTGAATCCAGATTAATTCAAAAATAGTACGCCTGTATTGTTAAATGTTTTGTATTTTAGTGCCAAGAGAGGAGCTGTCATACTGTAGGCAATATAAACCAAAACGATTACATTATGAAATGTATTTTTTTGTATTTAATAGAGAGGACTAGTGAGAGGCATTCAATATCATTCTAGTTTTAAAAAATGGTGTTAACTGTGCAGTAGAGAAGCTCTGTGAATTAATGAAACATTAAGAAAATAATGACAATGTATCCTAATGTTTTTAGCCTCATCCATACAGACAATAATACAGTTTATATTACCTTGATCATATTTGAATAACTGTTCAGTTAATAATCTTGTATTATTTGTAAACACACAAAGAAAGCACTTAATTTGTCCATGTGTAATTAGTTATAACCTCAGTGTTATAAATCTGTACATTTAAAATGTTACTACTTGTTTTTTAGAAGTTACGTGCTGCTATTCCGTAGTACCAGCATTGTTATAACCACAGATGATTAAAAGTTTAATTAATGGTCGTTTTGGGCTCTGTGTCTTCATTAGCAATGATGTGGGGAATGAAAGTGTCGAATACTGTTATAAGTAAAACTCCTGAAATCAAAATGTTACTCAAGTAAAAGTACCAAGGTATTGGCATCAGAATATAGTTAAAGTACCAAAAGTAGTCGTTGTGCAGATTGGTCCATTTCAGAATAATATATATGATATGTTTTATAATGATTGATCATGAAAGTGTTCTCAAAGCTGGTGAAGGTGCAGCTAGTTTGAATGACTTTGTATACTGCAGGGTAGCTTGTGGATTTACTCCAGGTGGAACTAAAGTCTGATTTAACACTTGATTAGATTTCATCATTCATCCAAATCTGCAAAGTAACTAAAGGTGGAGTGGAGTACAAGCACACTATTTACCTCTGAGTTGTACTGGAGTAGAAGCACAAAGTAGCATAAAATGGAAATTCTCAAGTAAAGTACAAGTATCTCAAATTGTACTTAAGGACAGTACTTAGACATGTACTTAGTTACTTTACACCACTGAGCAGATTGTCCTGTTACAGCGACAAAATGAATCAAACAGCCTTGCCTGTCTTGTAGTGGAGTAGAAGTACAAAGTAGCATAGAATGGAAATACTCAAGTAAATAATAATACATGTGATTTTTATAACGCTTTTCCTAATGCTCAAAGACGCTTTACATAAAGAACAGAAACAATACAAAGAAAACAAAAACACAGGTAGGTAGGTAGGTAGGTAGGTAGGTAGGTAGGTAGGTAGGTAGGTAGGTCGGTCGATACTTTATTGATCCCAATTTGGGAAATGTTTGCGCTGCAGCAGCATAAAAAATAAGGCAAGAGACAATAAATAAACAGTCCAAAATATTTCTGAAATAGAAATAAAAAAGCACAAAAAAGTTTACAAAAAAAATATATATAGCCTATATATATATATATACATGTGGAACATTTACATGTGGAAAGGTACATTTCCAGTAACAAATATAATGCAGGATATTATTGCGCAAGAAATTGATTATTCAATATCACATTGAATATAAATGTAAAATGTACAGTGCGGAAAATAAATCCAAGTGCGGAGTAAAATGGGGGGGGAGGTAAATCTACTTAGGTACTTCAAATATGTATAAAAATTTAATAAAAACATGATTCGAGGAATAAATAAATCTCTGCAGGTGTAGTTCCCTGCTCCGCTGATAGGGGGCGGTGTGTTTCTCCACGCTGTACAGTAACATGGCGGTCTGATGTAAGCAGAATGTGAGTTTCAGAAACCGGAATCAGGTTCAAACAAGGCGGCGGGGACTGTCAATATTGTACCGTACGGGAAAGAATAACGACTACACACAGATGCCCGTTATTTCTCCACGGCTCCGGTGGTATTACACGGATTACTTCCCAGTAGCAGATTTGGGACTCGATCCCGTGCGAACGGATTCTTGTTTCCCCGGACTGGGTACGAGGGTTTTCAGCCTTCGCCACCGGACCGGGAAGCCTCTGATACATGAAGGGTGAGCTTTTAAAGGTTATCATTATTATTATTTGTGACGTTTATCGGTTACCGGACGGTTTTAGGAGTCACTTAACGGCAATAAAGGAAGCACCAACGGCCACTTTAGCCTGTTAGCATTAGCTGTGTGATGCTAGCATGATAGCTGACGAGTCACCGGAAAAACACATGTGAAACAAAACAATTGTAACTTGATATGTATTATCCTTTTAACATATGCCGAATTGATAAGTGGTTACAATTCATTCGAAATGAATAGTTTCTATCTAGTTAATAGTCCATTTACCCGTGAAATATACACAATAGCATATAATTATCACTACTGAACGAGAGTTGCTTATTATTCTCAGAAATCGGCAAAACAAATGCGAAACAAAAGTATTAAAACAATTGTTAATTTGATATGTATGATACTATAAACATATGCCGAATTGATAAGTGGTTAAAAGTCATTAGACATCTTTATCTATTGGCTCATTTAAACATGAAAGTACTGAAGATAGCAAAGAATTATCATAATACTCCACGAGATTTGGTTTAATATTATCAAACAACGCGATAACATGTCTGGCTCTTAAGCTCCACGTTTCCTTACAACATATTTGTACTGATAATATTGACTTAGTAAGCTTTCAGGTGGTTTAAAATACAATAAAGACGTCGCTTGCAATGTTGTTGAATTGTGTCTGTCAGTCCAGAGACACACTGAGCTACTATGGTGAAATATGACTGTATGTGTCACTGTATACCTCTTTAAGTAATGAATCCTCAGTAGTTTGTACTATATTCTCAGATATCATACTTCTCAGATGTGGTTTGGTTGATTTAAACGTTTCATGGACGCTATATCTGTCTTCATTTTGGTTTATTCTCTCAATAGGAGCTCATCCAGAGTGATCAACTTGCTCCATACATGAGGAGGCTCCTGACAACACCACCACAGCACAACAAACCCAGGGCCTATGGATCCTGTTGACTCTGGACAAGGTAATACAGGCAATCGCACCTAAAGATATCAAATAATCCATTTGAAAGGTGCAATGGCAATAGAAACAACAATTGCATGTTGTTGACTCCTGCGGTCAGTTATGAAGTAGCACTTTGAGTTTCAGATTAGCAACACTGTTTATACTAATGCATAATAATCAGGATGATACAAATCCCTGAAGCTGTTTGGGCTCAATTACATATTGTGTTAAATGTTTCACAACTGTGTTGATTCTACAGCCAAGTGGTTAGTGCACAAGTCCTTGCGTTAAACTCTGAATAGTGAGTCCCTGGTTCAATTCCTGGCTGGTAACTGTGGGTCGTAACTTTCCAAAATGTCCTGTTCCTTGTGTGTCTTTATAAAACAATGACGTCCCTTAATCGTGCGTGCAGACGTTTACAATATTGTTTAGATAGATAGATTGGAAATTATTTAATCACAGAAGCAGAAGTGTGTTCAGACCAAATACAATACTTAAAAAAGTGGAAAAGATCATTAACAATTAAAAATACAATTTAAAATATTAACAATATAAACAAAACAATATAAAATATTCTGGATAATTAAAATCAAAAGTCAAAAATACTACAGGATCCAACATAGTATTATATTCTGGTATTTAATGTATTCATAGCAAGTAATTCTTGACGGTGAATTGCATAGTCTTTTATAGTAAAGCTCAAGTCTTTCAATTGTGGTTTCGATACATTTCAATGATTTCTACATACTATTTTTCTAATGTCTTCACTCTCCCTGCAGGGCCAGACCAGGGTTGCCACATATCACCCAGCTCCAAAGGACGACAACGCAAGAAAAATCCAAAATATTTTGATTATGAAACTGAAGAGGTGACCAATGTGCAACGCTCCCCGCGAAAAAGACGGAGCCCAGGAAGAGGAAAAGGAGCAGCTTCTGAGAAGACTCCGGTAAAGAATGGAACTAATGAGGATACCACACAACAGACTGAAGACGGGGGTCAAGACGAAACTGACAAAACACTTTCAGAGTCGGATGAAACTCCTAAAAAGGCAGTGAGAGTGAAAAAGACTCCGGCCAAAAAGACTCCGGCCAAAAAGACTCCAGCCAAAAAGACTCCAGCCAAAAAGACTCCAGCCAAAAAGACTCCAGCTAAAAAGACTCCTGCTAAGAAAACCCCCGCCAAACAAACTCCCACCACTGATGAGAGTCTCCCAACTGATGAGGGTGTGATTGTAGATGCTGTGCAGGAGGAAAATGGGACCCCAAAGCCTAAGAGAAAGTATGTGAAGAAGCAGCAGCCTGTAAAGGAAGTGGTGATAGAGGAACCGCCGAATGAAGCCGAGGAGGAGACGACGCCGAGCGGACGCCGCAGGAGAGGAGCGGCTAAAGTGTGAGATACAGTTTAACTTTATTACTTAGCAGGCGACAAAGGTGCAAACATACATCATGTATATTACTTGTTAGACGCTTTTATCCAAAGTGACTTCCATACTGTGGGCAATCCCCACAGGAGCCATTTGGGGTGAAGAGACTCAGACCCCGGCCACACGAGGACGAAAACGACTAAACGCATAGGATTAACGCAAACGCAATCGCAAACAAGCTTCCGTCCATACGCAATAGTTATCCGGATAGTGTCTGCCCACACGAGACCACTCCGTTTAGCTCCAACCGCTGGAGAAGCTGCAGTACATGCAGGAGCCTGTACGTGGCGCTGTAACTTCCTCCACAAAAGCAGCGAAGAAGCATGGTTGTCATGGTTGCCCTTCTGTTTATTCTCCGCGGTGGGGGCCGAGGGAACCGGGCAGAGTTTCTCGCCAGTCAACGTGTATTAAAGTTTAAATCTTCTGACAAAATTATAAAAGTGCCGGTCAAAGGTCTTCTTTGTTATTTATTGAGCTTTAAAACAAATGAATAACGACTCTATATAATATAATAATAAAATACACGGAGCCTCTCTTTTTCCTCCCTCTCTTTGGACAGCGCCAGTGTCTGTCTCATGCAGCAGCTGATCCAGTAATGAGTGACCCGGCCGACAGTAAAAATAAACATATTTATAACTAGGTAGTTTGAGAGGTGTCTCCGTCCTGCCAGATTAGACTTCACTCGCGTTTATGTCCATATCGAGAGAAAGATAAATAATCTGAATTCAGTGTGCAGTTTACTTTGACGCGGGGGTGAGCAGCAGAGGTGGGGAGAGGCGGGGCTATTGCTATTGCGCAATCACTATCAGAACATTTTCGTATAGGGCGTATATGAGCCGTTTGACCCCCCAGAGCGTTGCGTATGCCGTTCTATCCACCTTGGGACCCGTTATCGTTTCCTCAGTCGTTTAGTGCCGTATTCGGTCGTCCTCGTGTGGCCGAATGGTCTATATGACACTAAACAGTAACGCAAACGGCCGTTTTCGTCCTCGTGTGGCCGGGGCATCAGGGACACAACGACATGCTGACTGCAGTGGGGTTCGAACCTGTGCTCCCCTGATCCGAACACAAATGCACTAAACCACTGCGCCACACGCCTCCCTATATAT